GCATCCCCAGGGGAACCCTTCCCCTGCATCCCACCCTGGGTGCTGGGTGGTGGGAGTGATCCCTGCAGACCCTTGCTGGGTTGAATTCCACAGGGTGCCCCTGGTCAGGGAGACAATATCGCCAAAGCCCATCCTGCTGCAGTGTAATGAATGGAAAAGGGAGGAATCCATAAGCATGGTGTAAAGGAGAGGGTGTAACCAGCAGGACATAAATCACAAAGAAAGTGATAAAGGGAGCCTCTCGACAGGAGGAGCTGGCAGCAGAGGGAGGGATAGTGACAGCATCATGAGGCCAAAAGAAATTCTGGCACAGCAATAAATCCTGGAGTGGCTGGAGCCGCTCGGGCACTAATGATCAGGCAAAAACACCAGCCACGTTTAACAAATATTTCTGCTCTGTATTTGGAGAGAAGCAGGACGACAAGCTTGAATTGTACAAGAGTGATGAAACCATCTATTAATTACTGCCGGGAATGTTAAACAACATCTGCCAGCTCAGCGGGCCCAGGCACCGCCCGCCCTGGCCTCCTCCAAGAACTGGAGGAGAATTTGGCCTCCTCATTAATTTCCTGTGAAATCTTGGAATAACAAGAAAATCCTGGCCGGCCGATGGAGGGCCCACCCGTGCTGGGAGCGGCAGGGACACAGGGGTGCTCAGTCCTCATTTTGACTCTGCTGGGATTTATATCACATTCCCACCCAGTTAGATTCTCCCTGGTGAAGAACAGCCATAAACTGGCAAAGGTTGAGCATTTGTTTTCCATAACATGGTGTATAGATTTTCTTTTACACAAGTGTTTTCGGAGGCTGTAAGAAAGCGAGGTCTGAGAGGGGCAACAAGCTCCTTAAGGCATCTCTCATCATAGCTTTGGGAGGGACTGCCATCTTCCCCTGCATCTCCCATGTGCTGTGCAGTGCCTGGAACCAGAAAAATGGAGGGGATGGAGGGACAGAATGGAGAGAGGGCTAGGGGGATGGAGGGGATGAGATATGGAGGGGATGGAGGGACAGAGGGGAAGGAGTGGAGAAGAAAGAAGAAATAGAAGAAGACAAACATGAAGAAGAGGAGGAGGAGGAACAAGAGGAGGGAGAGGTGGAGAAAGGGAGTCCCATCAGGAGAGGAGAACCCTACAACACCAGGGCAAGCCCCAGCTGTGGCACAGCCCTGCTGCACCCCATTATTAGCAGTCCAGGCAGCTCCTTCATTTTAGGAGGTGTAAGTCACCTCCTCCATTGAGGCGCCTGAGCAGCAAAGGTGGCTGCGAAGGGCACAGCAGACTTCGACAGCAGCAAAACAGGTGGCTCAGCAGCAGAAAGACACTAATTAACAAATTAACTCTGCACAGTATGCACGGACCATGGTAAGTGGAGAAGGACCTGACAGAGTGACGATCCCACCGAGAAGTCCCCAAATGGCACCAGGGCTGGTGCCTCCCTTTCGTGCCAGGCTCTTGAGCCAAACCCTCACTGGTGCCCAGGGCCATGGAAACAGGGAGGTCCAAGAAATTCAGGTTGGATTCTGGGCAAGGAGAGCTGGGATACAGGTGCAGCTGGCCAGGTCACATCACTCAGCAAAGCCTGCCCCAACACGGGGGAGCTGGGAGGGACGCCCAGCAGGGGCCGGGGGTGACAGGGCTGGGGGCATGGCCATTGAGGGGACACACTGGCTGTGGGGACACAGGTGGGGAGGCACGGCTGGGTTGATGCTGGATCCTGCTGGAGAGGCTTTTCATCTCTTGGTCCCTAAGCATCCCTAGGGGATGGGTTTAAGGAAGACTGTCTTTGGTGAAAAATCAAGAGATTTAATACAAGCAGCTGCCTCTGCAAGATGCTGGGTCACATGTGGATTATTTTTCCCAGCCTTCTTCTACACAAAAAGAGGCTAGAATTTACTCCCTATAAAAGCCCAAACCCAAACCAGGTTGCAAAATATTGGAGTGCTTTAAGACCAGAATAAAGCTTGGGAGGAAGGGATGCCTGGAGTGCTCCCTCCCAGCCCCAGCCCTGGATTGCCTCGCACAGCCACAGGGTGCAGAGGGATGGGACAGGTTTGGAGGTGCCCAGGAGGGACAGGGGTAACAAGTGTCAGTAGGACGGTGCCACACAGCCACCCCAGCCCATGGCACCTCATTCCTCATGGCCCCCCGAGGTTCCAGCTGAGCCACTGGGGAGCCTGGGACAGGTAGTTAAAATACAGAAATGTCAACTTAAATTAAAACATGTTTCATAAAGGAGAGAGATAAAACCTTCCCTGCAGCACGATGTGCTGAGGGATTTATGGCACAGGGAGGACTGGTGCCCCCACTTCAGTGGGCTCTGGGTGGGGGGTTGGCTCAGCTGCTGCTGTTTGCACTGCATGGCACCCAAGGCACCGTGCTGGGCTGCTGGAGCACCCGCCACCTCCCCACCCTGGCCATCACAGAGGCCAGAGCTGGGTCTGCAACGAAATGTCAGCTCGATAATAAAATGTGCAGGAGCTACGTTTTCTTTGGGCCAATAAAACTCCTGCAGCAGCGGGGATGCTTGGTACTGAGCTGCCCTCCCACACCAGCTCGGCCCCCTCCTCATCTCTCTGGGGGACATGGGTGCCCGTCTGACCTCACGCTCATTGTACCATATCCCCAAACAGCGGGTGCCGGGCACAGGCCCCAGAGCTCCAAGTGCCACAGCGGGGAGTAAATCCACTGTGTCCTGTCAAGGTAAAGTGACAAAACACCATCCTGCAATGCAGGAACCACAGTTATAACAAGAGAAAATCAATGCAATATATTACCAGGGATATAAAGACGCCATTAATGCTTCAGCACGGGGCCCAGCAGCTTCACCTACCATCAGCAGGGCAGGTTTGTGTGAGGACTCCCCACGTTCCCATCTGGCTGCTGGGGTCACCCACATGCTGGGGCTCAGCCCTGTGTTTGTTCACTGACATCCACCCCAGCAAAGCTTTCCTGCTCCACCCACGGAATCCTGGGCTTTGACTCTGCCAGGTGCCTGGGCTGTGCTGGAGATGCGGCCAGGACTGCCAGGGCTGGAGTGGTGTGTGGCCTCAGCAAGCACCTTTCCGAGGTGCAAGGATCCAGTGAAGCTGCAGCCCCAGGCCAGGCAGGTGCCACTCCTCTTTCTGGGGCTCTCCATGCCTGCACAGCTCTGCCACCCACCCACCTGCACTCAGGCACCTCCTGGGAACGACAACCCCCATGCACCACAGAGGGAACCTGCAGGACACCTATAAGGTGCAGTGCTCCCCTGGCATGGTGGCTGCAGGCAGGAGAAGTCTGCGTCCTGGGGACATGCACTGGGGACACACGTGTTAGGAACATGGATACCACTCCCTACGATGGACAGTTTGGATTATTACTCAGAAGTTGAGCCAAGCCTTTTCTAATTGATTAATCAATAGCTTTAATTGAGTTGAGACTGTAGTGGGTAACTTCATCACTGCTTTCCTCTTGGCTGGCACTGCCCTGACCTCCCACCAAAAACCTGTTGCTGTGGCTGGCCTCTGCCCAGCCGTGCTCTCCCAAAGAGAGCACTCCAAACACTGCGAATTCCTGGGGCTTGCAGTTGGCTGGGGCTGCAGAGGGCTTCTGCAGTAGTCACAGAGGAGCCGGACCATGCAGGGCAGCCAGGTTGGAGTCCCCACGAGCAGGGTGAGTCCAAGGGGCTGCAAAATGTCCACGGCTCACGGTGCCCGTTCTGCCAGCCACGGCACAGCCCCTGGGCATGGGCCGGACCCGGCACACACCCCACCCGTGCCGCCCGCGAATGCGCCGGGAGGCACACGGAGCACCGGGATGGGGAGTGGGAACACGGGGATGAGTACAGACTCCCGCACGCCGGAGCCACAGCTCTGCAGGAGTGGAGATGAACGTTTTATGGTAAAATATGCAGAACATGGGACAAAGGAGAGAGCGTTTCTTGCATAATGAGACACTGTCAGAGACAAGCTCCCCAGGAAACCAATTAACAGGGCGCTCTGCGTGTGTCGGGCCAACACTCGGCAAAAACACCTCTCCCGGAGGGGGCGCGGGCCGCGCTGTGCCCCCCGCACGCCCCCGTCCCGCAGCCCCTCCGGCGAGGGCGGGACCCCCACGCGTGTCACAGGCAGCGCGGGGCCGCTCACCCGCGGGCACAGGCCGGAGGGCAGGGCGCTGGGGCCGAGAGCTGCAGGGGAGCGGCTGAGCCCGGCCCTGCCCCGCTGACGGGGCCGCTCCTCGCAGCGCCGCGGCCGGGCCGGGGCTGCCCGGGCGGGAGGCGGGAGCACCGCCCCGGCCCGCCCGCCGCCCGCCCCCGGCCCGCCATGGCGCTGCGCTTCTCCGCCAACCTCTCGTGGCTGTTCCCGGAGCTCCCGGCGCTGCCGGCGCGGCTGGAAGCGGCGGCGGCCGCCGGGTTCGGGGCGGCGGAGGCGGCGTGGCCGGCGGGCTGCCCGGCCCAGGCGCTGCGGGCGGCGGCGGAGCGGGCGGGGGTGCGGATCGCCCTCCTCAACACGCCCCCCGGTACGGCCGCGTTCCCCGGGTGCGCGGGGCGGCGAAGACCCTCCGCTGACCCCGCCGTTCTCTCCCAGGGGACCCGGAGGCGGGCGAGCTGGGGCTGGCGGCCGTGCCCGGGCGGGAGGCCGCGTTCCGGGAGGGCCTGGCGGCGGCCGTGCAGTACGCCAAGGCGGTGGGCTGCCACAGGTAGGTGCCGGCCGGGACCCCGCTCCGGCCGCCGGGGGGTTCCTGTGCCGCCCTCCTGCTCCAGCTCGTCGCCCGAGCGGGGCTCGCCCTTTGCCCCGCGGCGCCTCCAGCCGCCGGGTCACGGAGCCTCTCCCGGGCAGCGTCTCCTGCTCGGCTGCATCGGGCGGGAGCCGGCGCGGTGCAGACCCCCGTGTGCGGGGCCGCGGCCTCAGTGTCCTCTCCGGGAGCTGCCAGGCACTCGTCTGACCCTTCCCTTCCCCACCTCCGCACAACAGTCCCCAGGATAATCCTCCCTTTTTCCTCCCCACTTACACCAGTCGTTGCCCCAGGACACCACAACAGTTGCTTTATTGAGGCCACGGTGCCTGGAGGCAGCAGAGACACCGTAAGAGATGCAATTAGCCTGGCACACTTCCCTTCAGAAAACCAACGGGGCCCTTTGCATTTACTTTGCATCATTCTTTCCTGTTGAAACTCAGTCCAAAGCCCTGTGGATGGCAAGGACCGGGCAGGCCAGAGGCTGCCCAGGCCCCTGCTTGTACAGGCAGAGTGAAAAGGGTTTTGTTTCCACTCTTCACCTTCCCCCAGCAGTGGCTGAAGAGCCTTGCTCTTGCCTGGCCCTTGAGCTCTTCACGGCAGGGCAGTCCAGTGTGGGCCGCTGTCCCCTCCCTGCTCACAGCCAGCAAGCAGTGAGACCACGTGTGCAGCCTGCCCCTGGCAGAGGCAGCATGCCAGCTGCCCCTTGTGCTGGCCTTGGGGCAGCACTAGGAGCAAAACCAACCAACCTCGGGGTGAAAGAGCTGGAGGCAGCTGGTGAAAGAGGGAAGAATCAAGGTCTGAGATTTGTCAGGCAAAAGGTTCAAAGTCATCCCTCGGTGTACTGAGGCGGAACAGCATATATTGCTGCCAGTGGCTGATCTCTGTGTCTCTAGGATCCATGTGATGGCTGGGCGGGTTCCCCTGGGTGCAGACCGGGCTGCAGTGGCAGGTGAGATGGAAACCACCTTCATTGAGAATCTCAGATATGCTGCTGACCTCCTGGCCCAGGTAAGTGGGGAATGTGTCCTGCTCTGTGGGTGCAGCTCTCAGGGTACCCAGGAACACCCCAGCAGCCTGGCATAGGGAAGTTGTGCTCCATAGGGTGACATTACTGTGTTACAGGAAAACATGATTGGACTGGTGGAGCCTATTAACAACCGCATCACTGACCCTCGCTACTACCTGAACACCCCGCACCAAGGTAAGGCAGACATCTAGAGACTCCTTCAGAGGAAGAGAAGGATCCCCAAAGTCTGAAAGGCAGGAGGTTGCCTTACCAGCCCAGAGATGCTGAGGGAGCTCAGCTGATGAAGGGGAGTCTCAGGGCTTTGTGAAGTTTCCACCCTGGGGGCAATGGTCTCTCATTTCTTGCACCTGTAGCTGCTGCCATCCTGGAGAAGGTGGGACGGCCCAACCTGAAGCTGCAGCTGGTGAGTCAGCACTGAAGATCTCCATGGTCCACCCTCCACCAGGGAATTTTGCACAGGCCCACAGAGGAGTTCTAGGGGCTTGCTATCCTCTCCTGAGGACATGGAGAGAGAGAGAGACAGGGCCTGTAGCACAGCTCACTGGTGAACAGCTGCATCCTCCATCTTCCTCTCTCCCTCCCAGGACCTCTTTCACTGCCAGATCATGGATGGCAATTTGTCACGCAACCTGGACACATACTTCCCACTCATTGGTAATGCCCTGCACCCAGATCAGCTCCTCTGTGGCCATGGGGCAGGAGTGGCTCTGAGATGGAGCTCTCCTGCCCCAGGCTCTGCTGTGGCTGGCTGGGGGTGTGGGGCTGCTCTTGGGTCACCTTGTCTCATGCCCAAAGAAGGCTCCAGGCAGGGCTGCCTTGGGCACGGCCTCTCCCATTCCCTCTCCAGGTCATATCCAGATCGCACAGGTGCCAGGACGGCACGAGCCTGACAGCCCTGGGGAGTTGAACTTCCCCTACATTTTTGAGCTCCTGGAGTCCCTTGGCTACACTGGCTATGTGGGGTGCGAGTATGCTCCCAAAGGTGAGTGGGCCTGCAGGTCTGAGCCCCAGGTCAGGGCCAAGCACGGACCAGCTGGCTGGGTACTGTGCAAAGACAGGCAGGTCCCGGGGTGTGGCAGGTAGTGGGTGTCAGAGTCCCTACCTGGGAATGAGATCTCTGTCCTGAACAGAAGCTGCTCCAGCTTCTCCAGCTGCAGCAGGAAACCTTGTCTGTCACTGCAGGAGACACCCTGGAAGGTCTGGGCTGGCTGCGCTCCTACTGGGAGAGCCGAGGGCTGCAGCATGGTGGGACCAGCAAGGCAGCTGAGTAAAACTAGAAAACCATGGGAATAAAAGACAAAGCAATGGCTTAACAGAGGAACACGTGTCTTTTCTAGGACTGAGGTGGGATGATTTCTAGAGTGGCTTTAGGAGCATCTTTGTCATATTTCCCTTCCCCAGGCTGTACTGGGTCAGCCCAAGCAGTTGGACCCCCATCTACACCAGTGCCATCTGTAGCATGTCATATTTAGGGGTGGCTCAGGCACCGCTGTAGGTGACTTCAGGTACACAGAGAACCTTCACTTCCAGGCTGCAGGGGTGTCCAGGGAGAGGTTTCCAGTCTCCCCCACTAAGGGGAGCATTCAATCCTTGGGAAGGGTGTGAGCTTTCTCAGTCCAGCTCCAACTGGTGCCTGGAGTTGTGGGAATAATGCTCTGGGCTTCCAGGCACTACAGTTCTCAAGGCTGTTGCCAGTGCCCAGCACTGACTGCAGCAGGGGAGGAAGTAAAGCAAGCAGCACCCTCCCAGGCTGCCTGAACCCAGGTAACAGGCTGGGGGCTGACTGCCCTGCTGCTCCTGCTCTGGAGCAAGTAAGAAACTCCGGTGCAAACCCAGCCAGGGCTGCTCTGCATCCCTTACGGGAGGCGTTCCACATCCCAGCCTAGAGCAACTGAGCAGGGATCTGGTTCAGTTTATTTCACAGATACACCAATGGCTTAAATGTACACCTCCATAAAACCTTTGTATGGTCCAGTTCACCTTTCCTGTCCCATCCAGTGCTCTCCCGAGGAAGACAAAGGGCCAGAAGCAGTCAGCCTCACTACCTGGAGCCCTGAAGTCCAGGAGTCTTTCCTCACAAAGCCCAGAGTGCTGTGTGTGATCCTCCGTGCCTCCCCAGAAGGCAGAACTCAGCTGCAGATGCCAAAGCCATGTCCCTGAGAGTCGCTCTGCTTCAGCCAAGCCACAGCGGCCAAGCTCCTGCCCTTGTGGTTTGCTTCAAGGTCGTTCCGTATCAAACCCACCAAAAACAGCACGTGAGGGCCACACCAGCCCGCCAGGCTCCTCAGTTCAGTAGCCACCTGTGCCACTGGCAGCGCTGCCTGCAGTGCCCAAGCACAGGTCCCCTCACAGACCTGCTCTTCCCCATCACCACCCGTGGCACAGCCGTGCTGAGGTCTGGCACATGTGTTGCACCAAGGAAATGGGTGCCAGTGCTAGAGCAGGCCCGTCCAGAGGTTGAAGCAGGCAGTGTTGATAACTGACTCCAGGTGGTGATATGTTGACACAAGCTGTGGCAGAGGACTCTCACTGTTCTGGGGCTGCACGGGGAACGGCTCCCGGAAAACCACGGTGAGGCTCTGCCGAGAGGGAGGAGAGGGTCAGGGGACAGGATTCAAACAAGCACTGTGCAGTCCCTAGTCCAGGTGTGTGAGCACTTTTCTTTGGGCAGTTTTAGGCAAATACTGGGAGAAGTCCCAAAATGCCAATGGCACTAATGCCTTCTCCTGTGACAGAGCATGTTTGAGCCTCCTCCCAATTTTTTTGGTGGAAATTAGGTGCAAGCACTTGCCCACTCAGTCCCTGCTCTCATGCATCTGCAGTTATACCAACCCCAGCAGCAGCCTCAGGAGAGGAGGGGAACCCACTGACTCCACATAATAAGGGGCTTTCAGGGAAATTGGAGGGAAATTTCTTCTTCTAAGGCAAAGAGTAGGAGTAGGAGTGCAACTAACGGGGAAGGGGAGGAGATTAAACGTAATAACTGCAATCCTAAAAATAAGTGCTGCCTGCTCCATTCTGATTAGTGACTGCACTGACAAGGCAGGGCAATGGCAGAGGGAAGCAGGGAACAAGGTTCAGAAGGAGAGGTTGCAGGACCTGAACAGAAGAAGCCTGTGAGGCAAGACACAGGGACTGGATGTTCTCCAGAGCTGAAATGCAGCACATCTAGTAGCCAGGGTCCCTAACAAACTGGTAAAGCCATGAGAAGAGCTGGGTAACTACAGAACAGAAAACACACCACCATCATTTAAGAGGGAAAAGAAAGCGATTTGTGAACCCAGCTCCAACAGTGTGCAAGGCTTCAGAGCAGGTTGGGAGAGAAAGAACCATGAGGGAAATGCAGCTCAGTGTTACCAAAGTGATGTGCTAACGCTAAATTTCTCTTTGATAAGGTAATATTTCTAGACAAAGGAATCATGGTACATCTTATCTAAGCTTCAGGAAGGATTTGATGTGGTGCCACATGGGAAATTTAGGTAAGCTGAAAAGATAGGAATTAACTGAAATTATAAGGTGAGGATGGCAGTGCTGAAAGGGGAAATAGCAGGCTGGAGAGAGGTTACAAATGGAGTTCCTCCAGGACAGGCTTTGGGACTCACGTTGCCTCGTACTTTAATGAGTCTGGTACAAAGATGAGGAACGTGCTGATAAAATTTGAGGCACTAATACAAAAGAGGATTGGGATAATGCAAGAAAGAAAAAAAAAAAAAAAGCCTGAGAGAGTTTTGAGAGGCCACAGGAATGGGATCAAGCACAAAATACAGTGTGAGGAACACAAAGGATTTCTGTTACAAGATGGGAGTCACTAGGAGAGGGGATGGAGGGTCTGGGTGTATCATATCAATGATCACAAGGTGACACTATAACCATTAGGTGGCAGGAGGCACTGAGCAGCCTTCCAGCAGGCACCACCTCTTCTGTCTTCCCTACCTGCTTTTGAGATGGAGCATGATTTATTTACAAAGGGATCAGTTATGCTGCATTCTCTGCAAAAGCCTCACTGTGGACAGAAGCCTCCTGTAGATGCCCTGCTCTCACACGGAGCTGCCTTTCCTGTGACCCATCCTGCACCCTGCCTGGGAGCACAGCTGAAAGAAAAGTATTTTTGCCCTCAAGTCCAGTGAAGGCAAAGGTCCTTGCAGGTTTACTGGGACCCTCAACAGTGCAGGTCCCCTTCCCTTCTGCCCAGGTAGGAACAGCCCACAACACTGGTGACCCCTCCCAGCCAGACCCAGTATGATCTGGCTTGGACTGAAAACAGAAGGACTCTTCAGCCTGAATAGAGACAGCTGAGAGAATGATCCAAAAGCAATCCTGTGAAGGAAAAGAGGATCAAGTGCTCCCTGTGTTCTAATACAAGAACAAAAGGGCATCACATGGAAAGAACAGTAGGAGCTTCAAAAACAAGCCAAAGAGTTCACCTAGATTACAACTGCCTCGTGGAGCTGCAAGCCAGGGGAAATCATGGATGCAAGAAATTAACCAAAGGAAAGCTGTGGAGGGCTATTAAATAAATGAAAAGGACACTTTTAGCTCAGGATGGGCCTGAGCTACAGATTTTCAGATGTTGGGAAAGTATTTAAGGGAGGTGTTACAAGGTTCTTGACCTGCTCTTGTTCTCATGCACACCTGCTCTTGGCCACTGCTGGATCAATCTAGACAGATTCTTGGCCTGAGCCAACATAGCTGGTCTTCTGTTCCCATGTACTTACCGTCTTTCCTGAATGAGAATCGAGAAACACAAGGACGAAGCAGTCCGTGAACTTCTGGTTGAGCACGACCTGTCAGGAGAGTCAGAGCACACGTTAGAAAGGAGACAGAGACCCCAGGACGAGGACACAGGGAGAGAGGCTGCAGGTGGGTGACGGGCTGGGTCCTACCAGATACTGGGTGCCGGTTTCAGCGTTGTGGAAGTGCCGACAGCTCTGGGGAAAGCGGCTCAACAGCACTTTGATGAGGCTCTGGTACCAGGAGACTGTCATGGTGAGGAAGCATTCCTGCGGGCATGGAAAAGGGCTGATTTCAGCCTCCCTCAAGCCATGGCAGCAGCAGACATAATGCTACAGCAGCCTTCACACCCTGAATCAGATGCATCCCTCAAAACCCAACTGAGCCATGCTGACTGACAGCTATTCACTCTCCATGGACAGGTCCATGCAGTCTCCCCCTCCCCCTGGCCAGCTAGGAGCTATGTTCCTACCTCTACCTTCCCACCAAGCAGGAAGAGACATGTCCTGCAGGTCCTTCACCTGTCACCCCACTTTGTCCCGAGCAGAACAGCAGCTGCTGTGCACTGTGACTCCATCCCTGCTGCTCACCAGCTGGGGGTCGACATCCGCAATGGATTTCCCATGCACGGCATCGAGCAGCTCCTCCAGCTCCACCAGCGAGAGCTTGCCCAGCTTCAGCTTGTCGGACGCCAGAGGCTCCAGAAGGAAGAGGCGCTTCCAGAGATTGTCCCTGCGGCAGTGACACTTGGCCAGCTGCACCATGCTGCTGAGCTGCTTCTGGGCTGAGGCCACCTCAGAGGCCAGCAAGGGGAAGAGCGGCGAGGTGTAGAAGAGCCCTGGCCCCAGTTTGACTTGTGTGCCCCCCGTGTAGAACTCGCTGCTGTCCTCCACGTCCTGCCACAGCTCCCGCTCTGCTGGTGGTGGCTGCTGCCCCAGGCTTGTCTCCGGCTCCGCTGCCTCCCAGGCTGCCCGGCCCACCACAGGCTCCAGCACTTCCCGCTGCAAGCGCGGCAGCTTCTTGAAGCGTCGCATGTCGGCCGTGAGCCGGGGAAAGAGCTCCCGCTGGCTGGTCATGATGACGTAGAAACGCAAACTGAGAGCAAGGAGACACTTGTGACCTGGGGAAGGGCTGCTCCCCTCTCAGCTGCGCTGCAAAGGAACCACAGGCCTCTCCGTCCCTGACAGAAAGGGTGCTTCTCTGCCCAGACAAAGACAGACACCACGCCGCCCAGGTCCCCACAGCGATCCTCCCCCAACACCAACAACCCTGCCGGTGTTGTCCCAGACAGAACCAGTCCCTCCCACAGCCCTCCTCCCCAGCCAGGAAGCTTTGGTGTCCTGGGCCCCCAGTGCTCACCGGAGCATGCGTCTCTCTGCCTCACTCTGCTCCTCAAATGGTGCTGCACTGTGACACACCAGGAGGGACACATCGAAGTCATCATGATGACGCAGACCTTCAGAGTCCTTGTAGGAACCCGAGCTGGGAGCAAAAGCACATCAGGATGAAGGGAACCTCACTTTGTTACCCCAGAGCTCTTGGTCACAACAGAACTACTGGGCATGGGGAATTCCACAAAGCAGGACTCCTCAGAAGTGCTATGGGAAATATCAAATGCACCCTGGGGCAGTGTCCCCAGGACTGGCAGGTTGCCACCAATCTCCAGCAGCTCCAGGAACCTGCAGCAGATGCACTCACCTGTTCCAAATAGAGACCAGTGCATACTCGTTCTGCTCTGTGCCTGGTGTTCCCTTCTTGCTGTCGCTGCCCGTGGCCGGCCGGGCCATGCGCAGGGGTTTCATGTGGTAGGTGTTGGCGTGGTCAGCAATGTAGTTGTACAGCTGGTGTGCAGTGATCATGTTGGTGGGCAGGGCCAGCGTGCCTGGGCCAGTGGAGAAACACACTGTTGTCACAGGACACGCTCCGTGCCTCTTACCTGGGCAGAGCAGTGTCCTGCAAACTACTCCATGGGACAGAACAACCCACCTCCCACAACAAGGCAGCAAGGACTTCCCCTGGAGCTTGGCCCCTCATGCCACCCCTACCCTGTCATCTCCCTGAATACTCCAAGGGTCAGGTTTATTTGGAAACCTTTTGCCAAGTTATGGGCTGGCAGTCAATCCCAGGTCGATCCCAAGTTGAACTACATACCTTGGAAAACGTGGTTACGGCCAAATTTGGGGATATCGGGGTGGTGGGCAATGAAATCCTCCAGGAAGCTGGTGAGATGGTAGCCTTGGCGGAGGGTCATGTGGGAGCCCAGCAGATACTGGTGGACTATACGCAAGTGGAAGTCGTAGCTGAAGGAATGCACGTGCATGAGGTCCCGCACCTTGTCACACTCCTCTGTGAAGAGCATTGAGAGCTGTGGAGGAACAGGGAGTCAAGGCAGGAATGTTACCAGGCACTTCACACCCTCCTGCGAAGCCCTGCTGACCACAAGGCATTGCAGAGCCAGTGCAGCTGCCCCAGCTCAGAGCGGGACGCAGCCCAGAAGCCGAGTGCACAGTGCAAGTAGCAGACCTGCAGGACTGGCCTCACAGGATCCAGCTTGGTGGCTCCTTGCACACCTGACCCCACTCCTGGTCTCCAGTAGCAGCACAGACTAATCAGCACTGCCTCCCTTTTGGCTTGAGGTTCATCCCTGCCCTGAACTGAAAGCCACACGGCTGTGGAGGAAGACACAGCTTCCTTTCAGCTGAGCACTGCTCTGCACTGCCTGATCCCCAAGGGGTACAGGACACACCAGGGCTGAAGCCCCAGCACGTTCTGGATTTACAGGCAAAGACCAACTCCCTGAATGTCCCTTGAGAGCAGGATGCAGCACAGGGGCCTCTGTGGAGTGGCTGGACCCAGAGAAGGGCAAGAGTAGCTAATGCCCTGTGCTCAGTAACCGACAGGCACCCAGGCTTGCTGCAGGGAAGCCAGATCCAGCGGTGGCTGTTGTGTCACAGCTGTGCCCAGAGAGGATCCCTCCAGCACATGGCCATCTCCAGCTGCACAGAGTGCTGGTTCTTCACCGGGCCAGCGCCAGCCTTCACACACTCACCCCTGGCCATGCTCCCAGCACAACTGCAGCTACTGTGCCAGGGCACAGCACTGGTGAAGGCCTCAGCCTTGCCCTCATGCCAGGAGCCCACAGTTTTTTGGCTCTCTGACACCTCTGGGCAGTTGACTCACATCATAATTCCTTGGTTTAAGAGGAGGGCAAGCAGGGAAAAACAGCAGGTAGAAGGCACAGGGAGGAGAACAGGCTGCTCTCACTCTCTGCATCACCTGCACTGCTGCTACATAAGCCAGAGGGCAAACAGCACAGCCAGGACGAGCCCGGAGAGGAGCCTACAGCCCTGCCCCAGGACAGATGGGTCAAAGAGCAAGAAACACAAGGTGCTGCCCCCATGCCAGCACCTGGAGCCCACCCCATCCTCCTCCCAAGCTGTGCTGCCCACTGTGGTATGTACTGTTACAGAAGGCTCTGGCACAGGAGGCAAGAGGCAGCTCGTGCAGCCAGATGCTGGGGCAGGAAGGGTGGAAGCACAGCCAGTGGGACGGCCAGCCCTGCACTGGCAGGCCCTGCCATGCTCAGCATGGCAGTGAGAGGAGAGGACATACTGTGGACTCAGAGACAGAGCTGAGTCCCATGCAGCTCTTGCTGTGAGCTCTGGCTGTAAGAGAGAGATGCACAGCCAGTGGGAAGAGAGACAAGGCACTGCCCAGCCCTGTTCATGCATCCAGCCTGTCCTGCACAGGCCCAGGGTGGGATAAGGGGAGAGAAGGGGCAGAGGAACTCAGCTGCCCCACCTGGGGGAACTGTGGGCTGGTCCCAGCACATGGGAAGACAGGCTAGGCCCCTGCAGCAAGTCCCACCCCTCCTGCCCACTGCTCCTAGGACCATCCCACAGCAAGACCAGGCAAAATCTTTCCCAAAGTCAGCCAGAGAGAGCCTGGATGTTCCCTGCAATACCAGATGCAGCCTGGTAACACTGCCCTGTGCACATGAGAGCTTTCCAGGAAATGCTCAGCAAACACTCAGACAAGGTCCTGGCAGGCTTAAGCTTAGAAGAGACATTCTTGGCATAGATAAGATGCAGCCTTGCTACAGAGCCACCTTGGAAAGGACACTATGGTCATGCATGCCTGCTGTCTCAGACAGGCTGGGGCAGCCTCAGGCAGCCACCCAGTGCCCCAGGGACAGGCAGGAGACACCCTGACACACCAAAAGAGAAGGGGGCAGGCAGCCCCACAGTGTTGTAGAGCAAGGCACAGAGGTACAAAGAAACAGGGCTCACGATCTCCTCTGGCAAAGGGCAGCCAGTTATGTTCACAGATCCCTGTTCCCATTTCACTTCTTTCTTGTTCCAAGGGAAGCAGAGAGCTTCTGGCTTTCCATGCACTGACTTTCCCTGGAGCAGTCATCTTTGCCAGAATGGCTCCTATTCCCCCCCAGTCTGCTCTGTCTTGTTCCCCAACCTAGGACAAGAGTCATTCTCCTGCCAAACCTCCCACCCCCTTTCACAGCACTCCAGATCTGCTCAAGCAGCAAGCCATGGAGAGCATGAGGCTCTGTCCAGTTCTGCTTTTCCATAAAGAGGGAGCAGAACTCTCCAGAACCTTCTACACCTCAAATGCCCACTCTGTTCCAGAGATCACTGCCTCCCCCAAAGTATTTCCTGGCTCTGAGGAGCACCAGCTGTGCTGGCAGAGCCATTACCTGAGAGTTCACAGACTGGCCCATGGGGATCCGTGAGCACTCCAGCGCGTACTGCTTCACACAGAAGTAACAGCCCTGCAGGAGAGAGCACGTGAGCACAGAACAGACCTTGGGATTCTCCAGGGAAGGAGCACAGTCCCCACGCTTCACCCTCTGGGCTGGGTCCCAGACAGTTTTGCCCCATGTTCTGTCTCCCCTCCTGTCTGAACCAAGCCAGACCAGCCAACGTGTGGCTCAGCACAGAGCACCCTAACTAGTGCTGAGCCCTTCATTACCCCTCCTCCAGGCAACTTTTACCAGGCTCTGAGCCCTGCAGAATCATCCTCAGCTGATCTACAGTCCTGCAGGACCACGGAAGAAGCAGGACATGAAATGAAGAATCGTGTGTCCCTGCTGCACTCCTTGTCACTCCCTTTGTCACCTCTGAAGACTGTCCCTAAACCCCCAGAGATCATACTTTGTTTCTTGTTCTTTCTTACCTGGAAGGCCAACTCCATGAGCACAATCCCACCTGGAAGAGCTCTCTGTAGATGGTAGGTGGCAACAGCAGGGCTTGTGCTCTGTGAAGAGAAGGACAAAACTGAAGAGGCTCTCTGGCATACCAGGGTGTGAGGCTGCCACAAGGCTCTGTGGCAGAGGTGGAAATAGAGGAGCCTCACCAACTGAGCAATCTCACTGGAGAGAGGAGAGCAAACATGCCAGAGCTGACAGTGAAAAGAACCCTACCAAACCTAATAAAACAGCCTTTGAGAGAGCACACCAAGCATATTGCCCCCATCACCTCCTGCTTGCTCAGGACAGGGTGTCTCTATAGTCTCTACAGTTTGAGGACACTGTTAGCCAAGGAATGATGCTGTCCACAGAACCTCACTCCCTGCTGAGGTCTCCCCAGACCATCCCATCTGCCTGACACAGCAGCTATCACAGACATCCAGTCTAGACTCACAGAGTTTAGCTGCCAGCAAGTTCATTCAGTCTTAAGTTGCTCCAGCAGACTGCTCTCTTCTCATTTTAACTGCAAGGTGTTATCCACAGTCCTGCACCAACATCAGCCAAAGGCAGGTGCCAATAAAATATCAAAAAAGATGAGTAAATGCTATGTGCTCCCATCATCCTGGGTGATCAAATGAGGCACAGGTGGTTTCTGCCTTCCTAGAGACTCCAGTGGATTCCTCTTCCAGGTACTTGCCTATCTTGTCTTGTAAGCTCATGTTCACCGAACTCATGTAAGCTCTTGGTGCTCACAAAACCTTTTGATGATGACCATTATCTGCTGCTCAAAGAAACATTCCTTTTAGTTTTGAAACTGGCTCCAAACACTTTTATTTGATTGGTGTGTAGGTGTTGTATTGATTAAGACACCAAAGTCAATCCCTTTCCAGGTTAGCTGAGAATTGGTAGAGCTCTGACCTGTTCCTCCCAAATTGCCACTTCTTTAGACATGAGTCACAGTAGAGCCATTCCAGGCTTTTCTTCTCTAACCTCTTCCACTTCAGTGTTCATCTCACTTTAACTAAAGATCCTTCTGTCTCAGAGTTGCCCTTAACCATAGATGCTGAGGATTCTCTGACAGGTAAACCTTCAGAATCGCACCCAAAGGCAGCTGTCCTGACCCCAGGTCACCCTGTTCCTCTTTCGAGCCCACTCAACTTGAGAGGTGAGAGATTTGTCCTAGTTCCACCAAGACTCAGGAAGGCTCTCTCAGACCTCAGAAAGACACACAGGAGGGCAAGGAGGTCTCATCTGACCCAATATCCTAAAGGTGATGCTGGCCTAGACAGACTTTTTTTTGGCTTTAGTGCTTTCTCTGCCCTCTCACGTCCTTTCTGCATGAAACTGATTCAGAAGTCAACCAGAAGAACTGCTCCACTCCACAGCCTAGTTCCATCCTAGTTCCAACCCTTGTAACAAACATACACTCACCTTTGGGCTCCCCTCGGTTTTTGGCTTTGTGTAGGAAAAGGACCCTCTCCCCTCCACACCCATTGCTGCCAGAGCTCGGATCCGGCTTGTGCTACTGGAAATGAGAGCAGAGACAGCCTTGAGCAGGGAGCCAAGATCTCCTGTTGTGTCACACCAGGGCACAGCTCAGTGTTGGCTCTTCTCCAACAGCAGAGTTCCCAGCATGTCACTGACCTGCGAGTGGTAGGTGAGGGCGGCCGCACCTGGACCAGAATGAAGCCCATGCTCTGCAGGTACTGGATGTATTGCTGCAAGAAGGCATTGCACATCTCCTGCAGCCAAGGCTCCTCCTTCACCTTGCAGGGCAGCGACTCCGCCGAGTCACAGCTGTGGCTCCGGTCTCTCCCCGAAGCTGTGGAGTCATTGGAGCGGTGGCGCTTCTGGAAGGGAAAATAAGTTCCTAAGGAGACCTGCTGTGACTGGCCCCAAAAGATGACACCAGGTGCCCTGGTTGAGCAGAGGGCAGATCTGTCTCTGCCAGAGAGCACTAACAGCTGTTTCCCCAAACACTGCCACTGCACGTGCCAAAATGCAAGATCCAAGATTTCCCCAGCCATGGACTGACATAATAGCACTGCAAGAGCCTGCAGGAAAAGGTGACCTGGCAGAAGTGGAAAATTCACATCTGTCCCCAGACAACAGCTTTCACAAAGTGTTAGTGGCTCACAGTTGCTTCATGCAAAGCTCAACAGAGCTTCAGCCCCTATTGCCATGGTATGAGTCCAATCCCCTTATGAATCCTGCTGACTTCTCAAGATTTACCAGGAGTTCAGTAGCACCAAAAAGGAATAGTGTTTCCTTGTAAACATATTGAATTCTCCTCTGGATGTCTTAAATACTCCTCTTCATTGTGCTGTGAGAGACTAAGGTTTCTTTTCTTCATCTCTCTACTTCAAGCCTTTGTTACGTGTTTCTATCTGCCTTTCTGCCTATCTATTCCACCTACCACAAGAGCTGTCCCTTTACCTGGCATCTCTCCAGGTACTCTCTGACCTTCTCCAAGTCTCTCCAGTTCAGTGCCTTTGCCACAAGATGCTTGGTCTCACACTGTCCAGATGAAGACATTACTACACAAGTATTTTAGAAACTTATTAGAATATTACCCATTATACTAACACCCCTTTCTGATGTACTCTAACCAGTGTGTCTGCTGTATCCAACTGCTCACAAATTGAAGAAACCCACTTCAAAGTCAGAAGATACAATATAGCTTCAATACAGAGATGTCTGCTCTGTACAGGCTCTGCAGTGAGTGTACAATACAGGAGGGTTCAAATTTCTCGCCACAGTGTGCTCTGTTTTACTGGGAACCAGGTCCCAGCTCCCACAATAGCTTTCATTTCACAGGCTACTCAGGTACCTCTTGAGTTCCTTGCAGTCTTTGTCTGTTCTGACCAATTTGAACAGCCCTACTGCACTGCAAAACTGGGCATCTCATATGTACCAATAAATGATCTGGAGGCACAGAACCCAATACACCACCTTGAAACCCCTGCTGCCAGGCTCTTCAAATTCAATAACCAATTTTCATTTTGCTCTGTTCCAAAAACAAAGCAAAGTTTTCATTCTGCGATGATACTTTCCCTTTCACTCATGAGTGCTCAATTTCTGTAGCAACCTCTGCTTAAAGACCCTGTCAGAATCCTTTTGACATTTTGATAAATTACAACAGCATGTTCTTCCCTTCTGACACACACATAGTCTGTGAACAGCCGGTGTGGGATCTGCACCGGTTTGAGTCTGTCAGGTTGCAACCTGCTCAGGATTCAGCTGGTTTGCTTTCAACTGTTCCAGCTATTTGCTGGGTCCAGGAAAGGTTTACCAGGCATGGCTGTTGAATGCATGAGAGAAGTTTTGCTTCCCCAACAGATCAGTACCAGACAGTGCTGCCCGATGGCTTCACTAGACTCAGCCCTGAACTCCCTGGGTAGAAAAGAAAATCAGGGTTCCCCGGGGACGGTGTGGCTGCAGGAGAAAGGCTTTGAGGATCCAAGGATCTTCTCAGCCTCCATCTTATAGAGCACAAATTCATCCTGTAATGCAGGAGTGAGGTCAGAGCAGCCCTGTCTTGGGAAAAGGTTGCAAAGCCATCCCTTGTCCCAGTGCACAACGCCCAAGCCCACTGGTGCTTGCTGACACTCACCTTCCCCTCCACCTTGCCCAGCTGGTCTGTCTGGATTTGCTGCCGGAAGGCTGGGTCAAAGAGCAAAGGGGTGGCACAGTAGTGAACCAGGCGTGAGGACTGCTTCAGGGTCTCCAGGTCTGCCAGCTGCACGGTACAACAGGAGCACGGTTACAGCACACACCCCTCATCAAGGCTGGGAACAAGCTGTCCACGACACTGCACTGCTGCCCAAATGGAGATCCAATGGGGGAACTCCCTCCTTTACAGCCTTTCCACTGCTAGGCAGTGAGGTACCATGCCCAAGTGTGGTGTGTCAGGGCTCAACAATCCCAAAAGTTCAAGGAGAGAGAGCACTGCTCCACTGCTAACCACCATCCCCAACATAAAACCCTGCTCAGAGTTCCAGTGCTCCCCTTTGCCATAGGGAAGCTGGTGCTCCCAGTGTGCTGTAAGAAGGCCCAGCTACCCCCTGCTCAGGCTGCACTCACACTGATAGGCATGTTGGACTGTGCCGACCTCTGCTGCCAGGTGACAAAGAGATTCTCAATCTTCATCTGTTTCTCCAGTTCTGGAGGAAAGAAAGCAGTCACAAGAGCATCAAGCCACAGCCACAAGTATTGCCACTCTCCTTCACTCCCACCCTAAACCAGCCATAACCCATTCCCACAGAGAACTGTTCCCTGTCAAAACTTCTGCTCCTTCTGAGCCCCTTTTCCAGAAGCGAGATGATTAGGTAGGCTTTACCTTTCCTCTCCATGCTCTTGATTTCCAGGAACTGGGCCCCATGCTGAGCCACTGGATCAAAAGGTCCCACATCAGGCCCGTGGGGTATGCGCTTGATGGTGGTAACGTCCCGCAGAGCTTCGTCAAAGGGCACCACATCAGGATGGAAATGCAGAGATGGCAGGCTGCGGGCAGAGCTGCTCAGCCGGCCTTGCTCCTTGCTAGGTGGAGGACACGGGCTCCGGATCAGTGCATCCACCTCCAAAGTGGAGTTCAGGAAAGGATTTGGCTCCTAAGCAAGCAGACACAGCCATGAAAGCCTCCTTACTGCCAGTCTTGGAGCAAGAAACCACAAGAACAGAGTAAACCCAATTTTGGCTATCTGCAGACATCTCTGTTAGCCTTCTCCACTACCAGTCCCAAGAAGAGCAGGCCTAGGCCCAGCATGGTGCACTGGGAAGCCCATTCCCCAGCCTCCTTTACCCTAAATAATTCAGTCACAAGTAAGTGCTGCCAGCAGCAGGACCCGGCTTCCCTTTCCACCTCTGTCGCCAAGAGTAGACAGCAACAGCCCGGCTGGACATGGTCACAGTGAGACATATGAGTGCCTGGGGATGCCCTGCCAACGAGCACACAAAAGCACACAGGTGCCTGCAACCTCCCTCAGCCCAACAAACTGCCAAGGCCTCTCCTGAAGAAGAAAGGACTATCCTGCCTGGTGTGGTGCCCTACCTGCTTGCTGTCCTCATGCCATGGTGTGTCCATGAAGCAGTGGTGGTGGAAGAGTCCCAGCTTCTGGCTGAGCAGACAGTGCACGATGTGGGACCGGGCATTCTGCCACTGCAGCAGGCGAGTCAGGGAGCAGTTCAGGTTGGCCCCCAGGTCTGGGGACCAGTTATAGGTGTAGAGCGTCATCTGGAGAGAAAAGAGGGGAAGGAAGGCTAAAAGACATGCACAGAGAGGGCCTGCATGGTGGCACAGGCTGCCCCAGGTTTTCTGGGTGGTACTTGCTGCAGTTGCAGCCAGCTTCACATGACAATGCTGGGGCAGGGAGAGTGGCAACAGCTCAATTACAGCCCCCTGTTAACAGCCACAGCAGTGGTGGTGGTACTTGCACTGGCAGCACCAGTGTCCAGCCTGATGTGAGCAGGGAAAGGGCAGGTACAGCCCACAGCACAGCAGCTGAAGTCAGAGACAGTGAGGGCTGCTGTCCCTGGCACTTCCCAGAGTGCTGTAGGAAACCCGCAGCTCCGCTTGTGGCACAGAGACATCCTGCACAGCTCCTTTGGAGGACTATTGCCTAGGGAAGGCTGGCTGCCTGCAGAGGCACTCTTCCTTCCCTGGGCCAGTTGGGAACAGCCTTTCAGGAGCAACATCACAAAGGCACCATTGCTACCTTTTTGTCAATGATCTCCATGAAGAGGAACCTTTGCCGGGGCACCAGGTCTCGACCAACAAGGCTGGGATCAGAGCCCCTCTCTGCTGAGCTGAACTCCATGGCCTCAAAGCGCTGGAGCCCTTTGTGAGCTGCAAGAAGCCACAGTTATGACCCTCAGTACCAGTTCATCTGGCCCTTACATTCCACGTGCCATTCAAGTGGCATGACAGGATCTTTTGCCACAGTAATTCTCAATTCATCTTGAAATAAGCTGTTACAAGCAAATTTAAGAATAAAGTCTCAGGAGGCAAAACCAGACAATCCACTGCCCACCTCTGGGCACAAAGAGTCTGTTCCAGCAAAGAGGGGAACCCTGTTCATACATGTCCCACTCCAAGAGCCCCCAGCATGCAGTCCTGGGGACCGTGGCCAGGCACTCACCCTGTTCTGTGCTGCAACGCCACTGCTGGAAGTTGCGTCCCAGCAGGATGAAGTGTCTGATGGTGCCAGGGCGAGGGGTGGCACTCTGGCCAGGCTTATAGGGCAGAAAGGCAGTGCCTCGATGGTAGCTGTAAAGAAGAGCCCCAAAGGTGGCTGACATGTAGAGTGATGGCAGGAGAGGCTGATCAACATCTGCTAGTGCCAAACAGCCGCCGGTGCATCGCGTAACTCACCAGATCTGCTCAAACACCTTGACAGTGGTGTCACTCGCCAGGGCAGTGACCAGGTTCACCACTTCCACTAGGATGGAGGACAGGAGGAAACGGGAGACCATCTCCAGTGAGCACTGCTGCACCGATGGGCACCCTGCATGGAAGAAGTACTGTAGGACTGGGTGTCAAGCTGCCCCAGAGCCACATCCTGACCACATGAGCAACAGAAGGCTAAGGTCCTGAGGCAGGGAAAGCTGGAGAACAGGAACCTTACATGGAGAAGAAGAAGGCTGAAATAACCGCTGTTTTCAGGCTCCGGCCCAAAAGTAGGCCCTTGACCAAACTCCCTCTATGCTCTGAGCACAGTGCTTTATTCCCACACTTATTCCTTGTTCCCTAGCTTACTCCTCATCAGAGGAAGAGGAGGGTTCTACCAGCAGGAGTGTGAGAGGATGTAGAAACACCGAAGTGAAAGGTAATCAGAAAGCAGCAACCAGGGCAGCCACACAAACCCAAATCCCTCCATATGAAGGGCATCCCTCCTCTTTCTCCCTCCCTGCAAGAGTAAAGGTCTGCCATGGAATCTCACAGTTCCAGAGCATGTTGCAGAGGCTCATCTGGGAGCTAAATCACTACCACAGCTGGCTGTTGGAGTCCAAAAGCTGCTGCAGCCAAGTCCAGAAGGCCCTGGACAGGGAGCATGGCAGACATAGCCACAGGCTTTAGCAGGTTTGTTTAGATGCACTGACACATGCCAGGACTCCTGTCACAGCTTTCTAACGCTGATGCTGGCCTTGAGACCCATGGGACTCTGGTGAGGCTTGGGGACAGACAGGGTGTGTAACCAGGTAGGTATCAGCAAGGGATGAAGATGGATGGTGCCATATGAGGACTTATCCTGAGAGCTCTGGGCAGAAAGGCCCATTCCCAGCCCATCTAGAGGAGCTGGGGCCTGAGACACGTACCCAGGTGGTTCATGAATGCCATCCACTGCAGGCAGGTTTGATTGAAGAGCGGGTGCACAGTACCTACATCCCCTTCTTCCAGCTGGCAGGTTCGGCGCCTGGGAAGAGGGAAGGCAAGCACAGTTATACCAGATCAGTCAACAGCAGTGAAGGCACAAAGTGCAACAGTCCCCTCCCAGCTCCAAAACAGAGCCCCAGGAGCCTCCTTTTTGGATTGATACAATCCTTGAGCTGGGTCACTCCTGGTCAGTAGGCATATGGGTATCAGGGTTTGCACAGGACCCCACAGTGCAGAGAAGGGATCTCTAGGAGTGAGAACCAGCTGTGCTCCCAGAAGCACTCCAGCAAAAAGGGCTGAAGTTTTGTGTGTGGAAAGCAGCTCTCCTAAAGTGTCTGTGTGAGGGAGAAACTACAGGGAAAAGGAGTATGGTCCATAGGGCTGAGACACATAGAGCCAGCAGGATGTCTGGCTGTGGAGTGATGTACAGGAGACGGGGGAACAACATCCTGGCTGCCCAGCCTGCAGGCTGTGCTTGCCTCTGTGCCTGTTCCAGTTCAGCTGTGGCTGTGGCCCGATCCTGGCTCAGGTGCTGCTTGACATTCTCAGTCTTGTGCCGCCGCCTCGTACGAGCCTCTTCTGGCCTCTCCAGCACAATGTCATCAGTAGTCTTGGGGCTGCCCAGCTCCGAGGACTCTGCCTTGCTCTAGGGGCAAAAGGGGTAAGTCAGTCCTGTGCACATACACAGCCTAGCCAGTGCCCTGACCTCAAGGTCCCCACTGCCCGCCTGGCTTCCCACCCCCAGCCAGATCACTCATCTCCATTCCTCCTGGCCTGACACACCTTGAAGACTTACAGGCCCTGCTCCTCACTGGTCCCTCAACAACATTACCAGCATGTCCCAGAAGCTGCGGCGTCCCAGCTTGCTCGTGGGTGTCACTGGCTCTCCAGAGCTGGGTGAAGGTGTAGAAGTGAAGTGCAAGGGTGGAGGACAGCTCCTGCCAGCCCCACCACTGGCCAGGGCCAGGCCCTTGGTCTCTGACATGGTCCTCCTTAGGCCTCCTGTGGAGACAAAGCAAATCAGACTCCACAGAGCCTCCCACTGCAAAGCTGCTGGTGTCCCCGTGTACCCCACTGTGTCTGGCCAGAGCCTGGCTGGAGAGAAGGGAGAGAGCCCTCAGTAACATCCAGCAAAGCGGATTCAGTCTTGGGGAGCAGATTATACCTCTTGCAACACTAGTGTTTGTGATGGTTCTTCCCCAAGACATCACACAGCAGAGTTTGCAGAGGGGAGAGCAGCTTCCTTCCTCCCGGCCTGCCCACCTGATTCCCCCCAGCACAGACAAGCTTCTGCAGGCCAGGCAGGAGGAGCAAGGCTGGCTGGAGGCTCAAGAGGGCCATCCTGGCTGGGCTCTCACCCGCAGAACTCAGGTCCTCCAGGTCTGCAGGACTCAGGGGGCAGGCGGCTTCCACGCAGAGCGGGGCTGGCAGCACAAGGAACTCCATGACGGCGTCGCAGAGCGCGTGACGCAGGGCCCCGCGCAGCTTCTCCGACAGCTGCAGCAGGCTGATGTTGCCCTTCTCCCAGATATCCAGGCGCACCAGCACGCAGGGTTCTGTGGGGAAAGGGTAAGTCCTGCATGGTTCTGCAACCCTGCCTTCACCAGCCCTCCTAGGTGCCCCAGGGGATGTGGAGGCAGCAGGTGATGGGCGGCCTGTTTCACTGCCTACCTGAAGGCAGAGTGTCAGCCCCTGGCTGGTGTCTGCTGACTGCAGTGAGGCTCTCAAAGTCCGTGTCCTGCAGCAGGCCCACGATGGGTGAGGAGGAAAGCAGCTTCAGAGGGTCGGGCCTCTCCCCGTGGGGCAGCAAAGTGGGGCTGCCATGCTCATCCACAAATGTCAGTGCGATGCAAGCGATTCCTGCAGGGCAAGGCCCAAGATAGCCTCCATCAGCCCAGCACCAAGTACACCTCTACAATGCCTGCCTACAGCCTTGCCACCCCACAGCTGGGATCGTCATGTCCCCTTAAGTTTCACAGTGTCACATGGCAGGCAGGGCCCACAGGAGGGGAAGCAGCCAGGGAAGCAGAGGGTGGCTGTGCCTGTGGGGAGCCAGGGTAAGAAGCACAGCATTTGGCACAGGGTGTCCCCATCATTCCGAGAATCTCACTCCTGTAGAATCACAGCAGATTTTGCCTTGTCCTGCAGGAGATTCCTGGGTTGTCCAGTCCCATATGCAAGAGGAGAGTATCTCCATTTGCACCAGGAGGACCTTTATGCAGATTGATCCAGGATGGGGCTCACCATCCCTGTCCTCTTAAGGGGCAGAGTACAGAGCCCAGATACTCTTCAGCAGCCCTTTCCAGGTTGTGAAGAACCTTGAGTCCCTGCAGACATGACACCTTGTCGCAGAAAACACTCACAGGCCCCTCCTCACTGTACACCTGAACAAGATCAGGTGCTTCCCCATGCACTCCAACAGCAGGACTGGGGACAAGGCAGGCTGATGTCTGGTATTAGCCTGGAGTCACTGCAGAGAAAAATTCAGACCCTGCCTGGCGCCTCTCTATGCTGAGCCCTACACACACACACCAGGACAGTTCAGAGATACAGACCAGCCCTGTGGTTCCTGCTTCACAGCCCGCATGTCGTGAGCCCTGGGCCACACAGGAGAAAGAGCACAAACAAGAGCTGACTGCCCATGGCCCAGCTCAATGGCAAGGGCACCAGGGAAGCAGCAGCATGGAAGCAGCTGTGAGGTCCAAACCTCACACTGTAACCCTGGGTGTTCCTACTCCCTTTCAAAGCCCCTTGACTGACTAAGCCAGCACTCAGGTGCCACGGCAGCTGAAACACTATGATTTGTCTTCCTCAGGGAAGAGATGCCTCTTTGGACCTGTGGGAAAAATGATGCAGTACTTTGGAGGTCACTGCTTGCAAGCTAACAGGGCAGCACACAGACCCCCAGCAGCTGGGAATGGCAGAGCTGCCACCTCAGGGCAGCAGGTTCTGTTTGCTCATTTATCCAGCCAGCAAGAAATAGGAGGCTCAGCTAAATGGACACACACACACAAACACACGGAGGAGTCAGAGCTGAAGCCACAACACAAGGAAAACAAGAACAGCAGGGACCAGAAGGGCCAGGGAGCTGCAAGGGAAAGGGACCCAGAGTAAAACTTGGAGCCACAGGTGCTACCTTGGAAGTGGGAGAGTGGAAAAAGGTGCTGCACAAGGTCCGACATGGTACCTACACAACAGAAGAACATTCAAACAGTGCACGAAGGGCACAAGACACACAGTGGCCAGGTGACAGACACATGGCCTGGGCAAAAAATGACATGACAGCCTGCTGCAGGATGGGTCCTATCCAATCCCTCTTCCAGAATTCCAGAGAAAAGAGCAAGAACATCGCCACACAGCCCATGTTCAGTTACACGCTGCCTGCTTTCCCTCTGCAGCAAGGCTCCTGCAACGACTGACCCTGCTCCCTGTCCCCTCCAGCCCCACGGATTCTCTGTGCTCCACATGGAGGTGTCATTGTGTCTTGCCCCACAGCTACTGCAACCTAGAGCTGCTTCCTGCAGCAGCAGGTCAAGTTTAGCAAGTTGCTCTGCGGGAGGCCTTAGTTTGTTCCACCACCCACACAGAGGTGTGCAGTCCCTCAGGCACACACCTCACCCACCTTCCAGCCATCAGAGGAACACATAACCACAGCACTGGTCCTCCTTAGTCACTCATAACTCTCCAGCATGGGAAGCAGCTCCCCAGGGCACAGTCCCACACCCTGTTTCAGAAGAGCTGAGCACAATACCTTTTCCACCAGTGCCTTGGCCACCCGGCTTGTTGTACAGATAGAGATCCTGGTCAGGGATGCTCCCGTTGTGGTTGAAGTAATGCTAAGGAGAACAAGGAGGAATACTGACAGAGATTAGGGAACTTGCCTTAACTGGAAGCAGAGGCCCATGTACATGCACAGCTCATCCCCAGACCTGCAGCAAGCAAATCCAGACCTAGTCGAAACACTTGCCAACACAGCTTTTGCCACTGTTGGGGTGAAGGAACCCCTTACAGCTCTCTGCAGAGTTATGTGGCACTATACATCTGGCCTCACCCTCTATCTTTGCTATGGCCACGCTGAGGAGTAGGTACCTGCTCCCAAATTTTTATGATTCCTGATGTTTCAGTCCTTAGATCTGAGGGAACCATGCAAGGAGCCAAGTTCAGCTTTAAAAGGCGATCTTCTCCCACGCTCCTGGGAGATGACTGTGGGCATGAGCTTTGTGGTTGCTGCTTTTTGCACAGGAAGTGATCGCTTGTATGAAAGCAAGGCCTGTCCAGGCTAATCAGGATGTGCTCAGTCCTGTAAAACTCTCCCAGGCTTCAGGATTTAGTGCCAGGTTCTCCCTAACCCTACATGGCAGAGCTGGGAACACGGTGTCTGGACTGCCAAAACAAATGCCCCTGGTAAAAGGTAGAGGCTGGGCAGACTGCTGTCCCAACTCCCAGCCCTCCTCACCTTGAAGTGGTGCTCCACGTTGCTGTCTGTGTACTTGGGGGTGTGCAGGAAGATGAGCAGGTTCTGGCGCAGGTAATAGGCCACGGCGTGCAGCCAAGGCAGGGCCGAAGGCGGCAGCGTGAACTGCAGGACCTCTGTGGGTGGTGTCCCGGGGGGCTGGATAAACTGCACACAGAAGGTTTTAAAACTCAGCTGGGACTAGCAGGATGCCCTGGGGCTCTAATACTGACACAAATTATGCCAACTGGCTCTGCAAAGGGCGAGTGTGGTGGGCAGAACCCATACACAGTGCCCTGAGACAGAACATCCTGAGTTGGAAGGGACCCACAAGGATCATAGAAGTCCAACTCCTGGCCCTGCACAGCACAGCACCAAGATGTGGGCAGACATTCCAGAGGTACTCACAGGGAAGCCCTGCCATGCTGCAAACCCAGCAAAGGGGATCTCCCACCTACACTGGCACCCACACAGTGTATATCTCAGTGAACACCAGCCTGACCAAGCACTGCAGCAGGGAACAGGATGCAGCAAATTGTCCTGGTCTTCCTTGGGGCAGGACAGGTTGAGACAGGTCAAAATGTAGGAGAGTGTTCTGGTCTCTGGGATGACCAGAGCAGATAAGCAGTGAGGTACCTCCACATCTGCTGGGGTCAGCTTGCAGTTCCGCACCAGCATCACAGTGATGATATCCAGGGTGGCTTCATCCAGGCGCCTGCGCAGCACCTTCACCAGCTCGTCTGTGATCTCGGGCCCTGACAAGTAAGCAGAGGTACAAGCAGCTTTTTCACCTCATCCAGTAAGAATGACCAGAGCCATCCCTCCCTCTCTATTCAGGATGTACCACCCTCACACTCACTTCCCACAGGGAACATGACTTTCCCCACCATCAATTTCTTCAGACATCTTTTTCTATTGGTTCATGATCATAAAAGACTGCTGGTGCAGTAGGCAAAGACAAATGCACTCCTGCATAGGGAAAGTTGGCATAAGCCACCTAGTCTGCAGGAGGTTTCATTGTGGGCTGTGGATCTTTTCCTTACATTTTCACCCACACAGAACAGAGAGCAGGTCTGGGCTAAAGAAGAGCAGCTTGTTCAGGAGAGAGATACTTCCTCTGTTCTTCGAGCAAAGAGGACAGGAAGCAGAGCTCTATTCCTCTGCTTTACATCAGCACAGCCAGTCTGCTGCCAGGTTCTGTTACACATACCTGCTGGGGCAACACCATGGACCATCAGTTGGATGTGCCTGTCTATCTGTCCCACAGGGCGGGCAGAGTCCACACTACGGCACGAGGCTGTGTCCAGAGAGGAACGAGAACCCTGGAGAAGCAAAACCAGTTTCCATATGAATTCTAGATCCATCACTGTCCCAGGCTGTCAGCAAGGTCAGGCAGAAGCCACCCACTGCTGCCCCACTCCACAAATCTCCAATATAAGTTTTATCCTACATATAATCTGGGTTCCTGGAGCTACTGAGTTCCCTCCCACGACTATGAGCACCCCCATGCACTCCCAGAGAGCAGCAGACTCACCATTAGATCCTCAGTGTAAATGGGCTCCTGGCTGCGTGTCAGTGCCAGCGAGCGAGATGCTGGACTAAGGCTGCTCTCTGCTTCCCACACCTTCCCACTGTTGGTGGTTTCAGTCAGCCTGAATACAGGAGAAGGGCATGTCAGCCTCCATTCCCAAAGACAACAGCATCATACATCCACAGAAGATCCGCATCTTCCTTGCTCTCCCCTGTGCATTTTCTGGGGACTAGTCCTTAGGATGTGGAGTGGCAAAACTGCTCTCTGGCTCCTTCAAAAAAACCATCTTTTTCCCTTCAGTGTCATGACTTAGCACAGGCAGAGCAAGAAGGGCCTGGCTTGATGTGACTCTGACTCATCAGAAATGAGATTTGCTGCTTGGGTCACAACATGGTCCCTGAGGCTGGGCAGACACTTTCTGCCCCAAAGAGCTCTTAGTCTGGTGTAACACACACAGCAGGACAGGGTCAGGCCAACAAGTCATGCTGGCTTCTTACCGGAGGTAGAAAACAGATTTAGTGGCACGTTCCTGGTAGACAAACATATTCTTCCTGTTCACCACAGAGAAGGCGTTGAGCACCGAGCGAAGTGCCTGGATAGCTGTGGGCAACGTGGGACGTTAGCTATCCCACATACCCTTCTCTGCTGTGCCAATCCAGCCAGAAGCCAGACTCTTGACATGCAAAACGAGAGGGAACCTGGGCTGTACGTACCTCGCGAGACCCCCATGTTGGGGCCCATCTTGAGGCGTGAATGCACGTGGATGAGTGTGCTCCACACCACGTCACAAGCAAAGTGCCCTGGCATGAACTGCATGGTGGCAGCCAGATAGTCCCGGGGCTGGTAGCTCTCCTCTACAGAGTAATCTATAAAGAACACAGGACATAGCTGGGGCCATAGCATGGAAGCTGACATCTTCTTAGGCACCCATGGGCAGGCAGTAGCACTGCCACTGAGACATGGCCAAGGGAATATTCATACCATCTGTGGGCATGACGCGCTGCCTGTATGAAGTATAGGGCGTTTCACTCTTCCAGATGTCCTCCTCACTTTCTGCCACCAGTAATGAGTTGCATATGTGGCTGTCATGCAGGTCCTGCAGCAGCAAGCGCTGCAAAGGATGAGGAAAGATTGGTTCTGTTGCTTGCACAGCCGCAGAAGACAGCAAGAAGGGCTTAGGGCCAGACTGAATCCCTTTTCCTTTGACTCCCAACCTGGGGCTTCACGAGTTGAACTGGCTCCCCAGGACCTCCTTCGAGTTGAGCCCAGACCAGACAACTTGCAGAGGTCCCTCCTAATTTAAGCCATCTCATGACTGGCAGCTCTGTTTGTGCCCCCTGCAGATTTGTTACCTGATTGACAACCCTGCAGATTTCACTGATCTTCTTTACCACCACTTGGTTGAGACTCTGGCACTCCCCTGGCTGCTCCTCTTCTGACTCTGCTGATGCTGCCTTCTCCACACTCAGGCTGCTTTATGAAGAAAGGGAGAATGGGGTCAGCAGGGCACCTGGACAGTGCCTGCCCTTGTGTGGTGGGAGCAGGAACACAGTGGGAAAGAGTAGTAGTTTTCCCCTTACAGAGTCTAGTCCTGCATTTTCCCACTCACACTGGGCAGGGAGGAGATCCTGTCCAGAGATGAGTGAGTGGCCACAAGGTCACAGTACAGAGAGGCAGTGTCAGACAGGGGACCCTCCTTACCGTGTGTGGTAATACACCTCCACTCGGTCCTGATGGATTTTTATGATGAGCCAGAAATCTGGCATAAGGGGACACCTGGGCTCCTGGTCGCTCATCAACGCTTCCTCATACTCTGAGTCACTGCTTCCCCCGTCGTAACCTGCAAGGTATCCTCACTTCAGTCCCAGGCCTGGCAAGCCAGCCTCCTCCTTGGGCACCATAGCCACTCACAAGCCCAGCCCTCAGGACTCACCCCAGCCCAGGCACACAGTCCCACCGCACCTCCGCACTCCTGTGTCACTACCAGTGTCTGGCTGCACACTGTTGGTCCCCCCTGGCCCAGCAGACTCACCCAGATGGTCAGAGTCCATGCTGCCCTGGCTCGACACGAGGCTCTGCACGCGGCTGGGACGCTGCTTGCTGGAGCCTGCAAGGGGAACAGGGCTTTGATCATGGAAGTCTTTGCTAAGCCCCTTCACACGTCCCATGTGCTGGAGAAACATCACACCACAGGACAATCAGGCAGTGCCTGCCATGGGGAAGCAGTGCTGGGGAGTGGGGCTCTCACAGCCATCACTGAAGTCACCAGGGACTGCATGTCACCAGGGATATCAGTGCAGCAGCACAGCTGCACCCGAGGTGCTGTTAAGCACTGAATTGCCAGCATCCTGACAAGGAAGAGACCAACGGTCCTGGGTACCAATTCTGGTATTTAGGGACTGGAACAGGAGTAGCAGTCACATTATGCATGCCACAGCCAGAACTGGACTCTTCTCTTAAAAGTTTCTAAGGCTGAGGTACATCCTGCCCATGTTTGCAGCTCCTACCTTCCCTGCCCTGTGTCACAGAGTCAGTCAGGCTTGCTGCAGATGGTGTCACCAACGGTGATTTCTCACTGTTTCCCTTTTCAGAGGATGAGGATGGCAATGACTGTATGGTTGTCTCTGGAGCTGCCTCTTCCAGGGAGTCATGGCCTGGTGCTCTGCTTTGTTCAAGTCTCAGCATGTCTCCTGGAACCTGCATAAAATGACCAGAAAAACAGGCGCTAAAAAAAGTCCCATCACCCTCCTGCATTCTTCTACCTTCTGTTACCAGTGTCCCACACCTTCCCACCTACAGACCACCCAGGGCTTCTCACCTCACTCTGTGTGTGGCTGCCTCCACCTGCAGGGTTTCCTGTGTCTGGCACAGTGCGTGTCTCACTCTCTGGCCACTCCCAGAGACCCCGGGCTTCTTCTGGGAGGACACAGCCTGTGTGGTGTAACAGCTCAGAGCCCTCTGCCTCTGTTTCACTGCTCCCCTCCTGGCCTGCCTGGCCCAGGGCTGTCCTGGGCTGCCCTTCAGCTGGTTGCTGCAAGCAGGGTGACCCTGAAGGGTCTGGAGCTGCCCTCCTGGAGTGCAGGCGGCTGATGGAGACGTAGTGGTAGTCGTTGCCCTCTGCGTTAAGCATGTAGCCTGGCAGAGCCATTCTTCTGAACTCCTGCAATACAGGGAAGAATAAGCATCCTGCCAGCAAGGCGTATGACGCTGCCTCGGGGCTTTCTCTTTACCTCCTTGAACTTCTCCAGAGAGTGCTCAGGCCCAAAGACAAACTGGAGCAGCACGACCTCGCTGTGGCAGCTGGGCCGGCCCTTGGAGTTATAGATGTGGGTGGCCACCCGGTGCAGGATGGAGGTGCTGATGACCTGTGAGTGACGCAGCGCTGACACGATCTCATCGTCCAGGAGCCAGCGAATCTGAGCAGAGCAAGGACACAGAGGAAGACCTAGGTGACCTGCATTTGCAAGGCTGCCCCAATTCTCATACAAGCCCCAACAGGATGAAGGCAGCCTCTCTCATCACCCACATCCCTCATCTCCTGAATATACCTAAGAAAAAGCATTTAGAAGAGAGCTCTGCCTGTCCCACCCCAACTGCAGTAAGAATTTCGTCAGGGTAATCCCACACTTTTGGGGTGCACAAGGCTAACAGCCTGTGTGACAGGCTAATAGTCAGTTCTGCTGACAGGCTGCAGCTTGGAGTAGGCTAGGAAGTGTGGAACAGCAGCTGTGTGCTGTGGCCACATTGCTCCAGCTGGAAGCAAGAAGGAGGCAAGTCTGTCTTACCTCATTCATAGTGGCTTCTATAGCCTGCCTGTGCACTCCAGGGAGGTTGGAAAGGGCGGGGTGCCTAGGAGAGAGGAGATGAAGAATCAACCAGTCTCTCTGATTCATGCAGCCACCACAGGCAGCAAAGGGAACCTGTGAGGGGCTCACCACACCTGCAGTGCCATACCTCTCATCTCCGGTGGACGGGAGCCGTTCCAAGTTGTGCATGATATCCTCATCTGAGCGGAAAGAGGATGGCTGCCCTGGAGAGCGTGTGAAGGACACGCTGCTCTCCGAGGTGCATCTGTCACAGGAGAGAGAGCAGGCTGAGCACCAGTTTTTGAGCCAGAGAGGATAAACAGACACAGAACTAGATAAACTGGCTCCAGAGAAGGGAAAAGGGATCTCTACAGAAGGTGAGCCTATCTTGAAAAAAGTTTAGTTTTCTTAAGGCTGTGGCAGGCTCTGTGAGGAGAATTGTGAGTTTCAGCATATGGAAATGAGCCAAGAATGGCCTTCTGGGAAAGGAAGGCAGAGGGTGGGTGAGTGACTTGGCCTCTTTCCACCTACCTGTTGTGGAGAATGTCTGTGTTCACAACTTCTATCTCCAGGGGCAGTGTCAGCACAAAGATGTCCAGGGTCACACAGAGGTCCCCCAGATCAATGGTGTTCAAGCCCTGGCAGCTTTCCAGGCAGCCCAGAACTTCCCCTGAGGAGAGATCACAGACCAAGGGACTCAAGCAACAAACATCTCTGCTTACATACATACACAGCCTGGTGGCAAGTACAGAGACTGCAAGAGGTGTCTGTCCCACACACCTGGACAGGCTCCAAAAGGCCACCATCTTCCATGATCCTTTCAACCCTCCATCACTAATCCCACATAGCAAGTGTGAGACCTGGTGGAAAAGCCCTTGTCTGATGCTGGCAGACCCCTGGGGCTCTGCACAGGGAGGGCTGGTTCAGAGTGACTGTTGATTAGGACGCAGCATGTTTGTTCCAGGGGCTGCTCACCCAGCAGGAACCTGAAAGAAGCCCCAAGGATTGCTCTTACCTAGACAAGTTGGCAGGGACTGCACAGGCATAGAGCTGTGCTGGCTACGCAGCTTCACTGAGCAGGTCAGGTGCACAAAGAGAGGGGGCATCTCCTGCTCCAGGAACTCCTGCTCATTGAGTGAGTCCCCTCCCAGCACGCTGAAGGAGTCATCATCCTGGTTCACCGTGTTGGAGTCTGAGAGGGAATCTGTGTCTGGGAACTCGTGCTCCAGCTTCTCACGGTACTCCACCTCCAGCTCTGGGTCACTCTCTGTGGCAATGCAGCATCCAGACACAGTTCCTGTTGATATAGGTTCCCTGTTAGCAAACCAGGTCCACATCTCCAGAGACCCCACCAGACACAGCCTAGCTCTGAAAGGCACCACCACAGCGAGACTACAGACGTTTTCTTCTCCAAGACAGAGCAAGCAAATTTTACCTTCTTCAGCTGCCAGTTCTGCCTCTGATCCCTCCATGTCCTCACTGCCTTTCCTGTCTGCCTGATCCCGAGATGCCTCTTCCTGAGACAGAGAGAGAAAGGGCAGATAGTAGAACCATGCCAGGCAGTGAAGCAGGTTGTTGATGGGCACCCCACGGACTAAGTCTACCCATGAGTCTGCCATCCTCAAATCCAGAACTGACACCGAGCAAAGCTACTCCAAAAGGACTAGGTGCCTACCAGGGCAGCACCATGCCTACCTCTTTCTTGGCTGATGGTGGGCAATAGAAGAAATAGTGAGGATTTGATGGTACTGGCTTGAAATGTAAACTTCCAATTTCCAGGAATTTTTCCTAAAAGAGAAATCCCAAGTGTGAAGCAGACATCCTACTCTACCCTCCTGCCGGAGCCAGGTCAAGCTTGCACATTCCTCACCTGGATAATTTTATGCAAGTCTGGGTGTGCCTGGCAGGGCTGTCCAATTTCCAGCAGCGAGAGGGGAAACTCTGAACAGCAGCTGGTGCCCACACTGCTCTTTGGCTCCTCCGTGGGGCTTGCAACGTTATGGGAGTCCTGCTCACTGTAGTCCTCCATTTCCACACTGACAGGATTGTGGACAGGTCAGACAGGCCAAACTGAGAAACCAGACTTGCTGTATGTGTTCTCTATCCTGCAAGCATCCACCTCACAGATACCCAAACCTCACCTGTGTTAACACGATGTGACTCACCACCCAATCCCACAGCCCCAGAAAACCTGCCACCCACATGCCCAGATGAGGGCTCAGGCTGTCTGAAGCCAGGCCTGAGGTAGCTTAACCATGCTGATCCCACTGCCATGTCTGTAAACCACACTACACACCCTCCCTGGGAAACAGAGACACATGGTTGAGTACAGGGACAGGCCTGCAGCAATCTGAACTACCAACACCCAGTCCAGGGCACCTCACAGCAAGTACCACTGTGCCAGCACCCAGTGTCTTGGCGGCACAGAGAGGAGCACAAAGTTCAGGCCTGTTGTCACTCAGCAGCTTCATGGCAGAATCAGTCCCTAAATCTCAGAAAAAGCAATCTAAGGAGTGGGATGTCGACTGGTCAAAGCACTCCCCAGGTACCCAAATTAGTGGTAAAGATGGCAGATCTGGGTGCAACACATCACAGACTGTACATCCTTCAGTAAAGTTTATATAACCTGCATTGGGATAGGTGATCTGTAGTATCTTACACACAAAAAAAAGTACCCACAGTTTTTCTCAGGGAAAGTAGCACCTGAAGAAGTCATCTGACCTTTCAAACACTGAATGTTCTTCAAAACCATGTACAGTATAGGAAGAAATAGGATTGGGGATTCCCAACAAATGCTAGTGAATGCACATAAAGGAACTGTGCAGAGGACAAAGGGCCAAAGTGTTTCTTTGACAGACACTAAGTCATAGCACTTTTTTCCTTCCTTAAGTTTCCAGAGGTGATACATACCTCTTAAATACCGTAAGGAATAGAAAGGCAGAAGTTTATCATCAAGCATATTTCAATTCTGCCTTGGTATTTCTCTTGTGCATTTTTTAATTAAAAAAAGTGACACTAATAATTAGAAAAAGATAACAAAGCTGTCATTTTCATCAGAGTCAACATCAAACTCAAATGAGTCAAGCAGTAGGAAATGCATAATTTCTCCAGAAACAAGTCTAAGATTTACTTGCAGACAAACTGCCCTCCAGCTCAGGCCAGATGGGACAGTAATGAGCCTAGATTATAAGAGAAAGTGAAAGGATGGATGTCACCAGAGATTATAAAAAATAGGAAGTCCTAGTGGAGTATCTCACTGGAAATATCTGCTCTTCCATGTGGCTCTGTTAGACTCTGCCCTTCAGCATTCCTTCTAGCAGGTGTTAAAAGATGCTTGAAGAAAGATCTGTCCTGGCCCAATGCTAAGAACAGAACTGTGCCCTTACCTTGACTCAGAGACCAAGACACCTCGTTCCCTAGAGCTCTGATCCTCTTCTTGCTCTATGCTGCCCACTTGGAAGCTGGCTGTCTTGGAGTGTGTATGGAAATGCTGGTGGCTCTCTCGGAATGAGCGGACATGGCTGCACACCGTCAGCAGGAAGTTGGTGATATCAATCTCTTGGAGCAGCTCCTCACAGTAGTCCATGGCAGTAAGCAGGTCCTGGGAGCTGATGCTGTGTGACTGCTGAAGGCTCTTGAACAGCCCTACAGGTCAAACACGGTGCTTGATGTGAGGCAATGGGAGTCAGGCAATAGCCACGTATGGATCTTCACCAAGGCCCAGCACAGAGCAGAGTCAGTGCAGGTGCTGGGAGACAGGAGTCAGCCAGGGCACTTAATGCTATGTGTTAGTCTGGGCTTGGGTGATGCCAGAGTGCCCAGGGGATCTGTCACCCTGAAGGTGAGAGGAAAGCATCAAAGAAGGGATCCCCCATTACAGCACTCCATAGATTTGGGAACAGCCTCTGCAAGGCCTATAGGGAATGCACAGAGGGATCTTTAAATCCCTCCTGGTGGGACATCAGTCCCACAACTCCTCTCTTTGCTCGGTGTAAGATCACAAAGAAAATGAGACATTGTTTTCTTAAAAGAAGATCCAGGGTCCAGCCCCAACCCCAAGCCTGCCACAGGTCCCATTGCACCACTGCTCACCTTTCACGTAGCACTGGTGGGAGTGCTCCTGCAGCAGTGTGCAGTAACTCACCAACTCCTTGTGCTTGTGGTCCAGCCAAGCAGCAGTTGGAGGACGTTCCAGAGACTGGGACCTGGAAAAGACAAACCATAGCCTTTAGTGCCAACAAAGCACATTTTAGACTACAAATAGCTCTAACACCAGCAAAGCAGGGCCTGAGGGCACACACAGGTAGTGGCTGCTACAAGGCAGAGAGGCCAAGCCAAGAGCCAGCCTCTTGTCAAGGAAAACTCCTCTGTTTCTTGTCCAGGAATCAAGTATAGTGGGTATTACCTGAAAAAGATGTCCCGAGGAGGACGGTGTGCCCGGGGGCTGACAAGCTGCTCTCGTAAGAGCTCCAAAGAGCAGCTGTAGATGTAAATGGGGCAGCGAAATCGGCGGCACTCGCCCAGCTCAGACTGGGAGCTCTGGCGACAGAAGGAGATATGCATATCTCTCCGTGAAGGGCCACTCTGCTCTCCAGGCTCACGGCTCCCTTCTGCAAAAGAAACAGTCCTCGGATAAGGGCGTTTGATGGGCTCCTTGCTCCCGGTCTGAGGCGTCACAGCCCTCACAGAAGCACCTACAGGAAGGTATTGGTTTTTCAAGCTTCTCACCACTCAAACCTCAGGGGCCCTTCTCCTTCACCCAGCACCCAGCCACTCAACCCAGTGCTTTGGCCACCCTGATCCCCTTCTTCGCAGCCATAACTGTTCACCATCACCACCACGACTTCCTGCAGCAGCACAACCCTCTATCCCCACTGCAGGTCTGGCTGACTTGCACCAGGGGCTGTGCAATTAAATCCCATACAAAACTCAGACCTGTGCCCTTCTCCTTAAGACAACGTGTTGCTGACAGTGCCGGTCTGGATCATGACATGAGAGTCACTGACTTTCCAGTGCAGCCCAGTACTGCCTTTCCTAGTAGTTTTTATCTACCTGCAACCTCCTTGCCCACTGGGAACCAACCTTGGGCCACAGGCACTCAACTCACATTACACTCCTTCATCCCCCCATGAACATCACTGTGCCCCTTGTCGTGACTCTGCTGACTGCCAGGCAGGAGCTGACAGGACAGGCAAGAGCTGACAGATTGCTCCTACCTCTATCTGCTCAACAGTATGCTCAAGAATAGCAAGGTTACTAATAGTTTAGCAAGGTGCTGTTGGTACCATGGGCTGGTGTTATGCTGAGGGTAGGCAATGGCACTGCAGCATCCCCTTCTTCAGCCCTGACTCGCTCTGCACAGACAGGTCCCAGGGGATCCTCTCCAGATCGACTCTCGTCTTTTGGAGGTTTGTCCAACCCACAAGCCATCAGCTTCTGTACATCTGGAAGAAAACAAAATAAAATCACCCTCTGTCCAGTGAGAACAGCTTAACCCTTCAACCTACATTCCCAAGACAGCAGATGTCCCTGCTACCTCTCTGTGTGTAGAAGCAGCTTCACAGACTACTTCCACTAGAGCCTAGCAGCCTTCACCAGTGGCTCAGGGGAAGCCAGACCAGTGCCAACACCCAGAAGCAGGGACTCTCCCTGACCATGCCATTAGCAGTCCCCTTACTCCATTCATTAACAACCCCCTTGGAAAACCAGTCCAACGGCTGCAGCTAGCGAACAACTCAGCACCACTCAAAAACCTTATGAGTGCAGCACCATGTCCAGGGAGAGAAGAGCGGGACATTCAGCACTTTGCACTATTCTATTCCTGGCCATATGGTGCAAAAAGACTGAGTTTGAACTCCGCTGTTCAGTTTTCTCTCCATCCTACAAGAGTTGATTCTGTTTTTGCGGTTTTCCTGAGGAGGTGCTTGGCACTGCTGCCTCACCTGAGAAGGTGGCTGGCAGGAAGGTCAGGAACACATGCTGTGGGTTGACCAGCTTGGCATAACATCGCCACTGAGGGGGAAAGGGCCCCGTCGTGTCACTCAGTGTCACGTCATCCTCAGGCAGCTCTGTGTTGCCAAGGCTCTGAGGAAAGAGCAGAAGTTGGATAAACTCAGCACACAGCAACTACACAGAGCAAGTTCTTCCATGAGTGCTGGCTGGCACAGTGCTGAAAGGTCAGCCCTGCACATTCCAGGAGCAGCCTGGCTCCAGGAAGAACAGCACAATTAAGATATCTTAGCCAGCCTTGCTGGGGCTGGTTCTGACCTCCAGGCATTGATTGCCCACGGTTTCTGAGCAATGTGTGGCACAGCATCAGTAACAGGCACAGCTGTAACAGGCTAAGCCAATGGTGAGTGCAACTATCCACACACCTTCCAGATTCCTGCTTGACTTCAGCCACAGGCTTCAGCTTAAACTGCTGCCAAATGTGGGGAAAACCAGCCACCTTTCAATCTTTCTCAGCCATTCTAACTCTCCTACTCTTTAACAGTTGCTGCCTTGCATTCTGAAGGGGCTCAGGAGAAGGACAGCAGCACAGCAGTACCTGCAGAGTACTCGTGGAGCCAGTCATATCCCTGGTGCCATTGCTGCCAACAAGATGATAGGATGCAGAAGCACCCTGCTGCTCCAGGGTGCCAGAAACTTTCAGGTTTTCTTCTGAAATGGAACACAGAGAAACCAACCTGAGAAACACCAGCTGAGGATGAGATTTGAAAGCAAGGCTCCTGAAACACCTCACAGTTCCTGGTGTCACTGCTGTCACACTCCTGGTCCTTACCTCTGATCACTGGGAGCGTGAAGGGGGGTTGATGGCCATCACGATCCCGTTGCAGAACCTGCTCCATGAAAGCCACATGATCGGCATCAGCCATGGGGATCTCCCGGTCACTGAGGTCATGCTGCAGGCAGCCATGGAAGAGGTTTAGTAGCATTTCATTGGGCACAAACGAAGAGTCCTTGGTCACCTCCTCATTCTCTGCTCCAAAACAGAACCACGGCAGCTTCAGAGACAGCATCTCCACAGGCACCACCTGCCCAGGACCCCAGGAGACAGCCCTTTGCAAAGCAACACTTCCAAACAGGAGTTTCCACCAGCATTTCTGCAAGGCTGACTTGGAGGGTGTTGAGGAGGCCCTGGAGTTTCAGCATCATTAGTTACCCTGCTACTATAAATATTCTGGAGATGCTGGGGGTACAGACAAGAAACTACCACCACAGAGCAACTGTCTAAGTTTAATGTTTTCAAAAGCAACTCCTCCAAATTATCATCCCAAGAAATACAGCAATACAGCTGGGCAGCCCTGGGGCTGCAGAGTCAGGAAGAACAGCAATGAGCTACTGAAAGAGCCATGGCAGTGCTCCCACCTACTGCCCAGGGAGACAAGCACGTGGAGCAGGGTGCCCATAGCCACAGAGGGGGGACGAGGGGAGGCAGCAGGTGAAGAGACACCTACCTTTTGTCAGCATTAGGAAGAACATTTCAACCTGCTGGCACCTGGGCAACAGCTTCATGAGGTTGAACTGGAATGGGATCTCATGCACTCGAAAACCAGGCCCCATGTCTGGATCTGCAACAAGAAGTGGGAATGTAACACACCTGTGGGCACAACGTATCCCTGCTTCCCAGGGAAGGTCATCTGGACCAAGCTCTGCTCAAGCAGGGTCACCTCATCACCTCTCCAGCCTAGGCAGAAAGCCTCAGTGCTTCTTTGTCCTTTCCAGGATGAAGCCGTTTCTCTGGCAGATTAGCACAAGTGCAACAAAGTGACTCACTGCCATCACAGTCTAAAAAGCTGTCCAAATTACCTGTTCCACCTTCCAGAAACCTCTACAGGCCCTGAGACATTCAGGGCCTTGCTATCTTTGCTCCATGGAACTTGCTAGGACATGGATGCTGGACTCACCTTCAGCAGCTTTGGTGTCTGAAGGAGGGCAGACCCACTCCTTGTTCTGGCACAACTGGCTGATGTACTCGAAGGTCAGCATGGTGGCAATGCATGCAAGGTCCCGGGGATAGAGCTGCAATAAGCAGTCAAGGCTCAGCTGTATGCAGCAGAATTATTACCCCCAAATGCAGGAGAAAACAGTCTAAAAGCAAGGAGAGAAAACACCCATAATCCTGCCCCCTGACTTGCCCTATTCTCACTCATTGCTCCCTCCTTCTCCACCAGTCCTTTAGCCTGTTTTCACCTTGCTCAGGAGGAGTGTTAGCAGGACTGCCTGCAGTCCCTGCTCTGGTCCAGTTTGCTCCCCTCTTCACAAAATAATTTGTATTTTTCCAGCTATCCCAAAACAGCATTGCATCCACTGCCTTGCAATACAGAAACTTTTTATGTCCAGTGGCTCGTTCCTCTTTTAGAAATGTCAAGCTCTTCTGTGAACAGCACTCCCATCTCTTCTGGCCCTCAATATTCACCTGCAGTGCTGTGGTGCACTCACAATGAACCCTTCTCCCTCCACAAAAGAGCCCATGCCCCTCCCCTTTCAAGGACTCACCGCTTTAGGAATTTTCTGGTAGGGCAAGCCATGGAGGTGCTTCCAGTTCTCAGCAGTACTGTGGACATGGCCACTCTGTGGCTCTACCCAGCACTCAGTGACCAGGTTCAGTTCTGTGTCCACCTCAATGGCCTCTACCTCTGTATCATTGTCATCATCTGTGGAAAAGCTGAAGGAAAGACAAAAGGCAAGTCCTGTGAGATGGCACAGAGCCAGCAGCCCACTGCAGGTTTATAGGCAAAGCCCCAGCTAACTGGTGATCAGTCCATGACAACTAGTTATCTGTACTAGATAAAGTCAAGTCTGGAGCCATGACTCCACTGCCAACCCTCCCTGGGAGCAGAACAGCCTCACCTGTCTTTGGTGGAGGTGGAGTGGGGTGGGAAGAGGATGTATTGGACGACACAGGTGTGCTTCTCCCTGTCACAGCTGCTCTCTCTGGAGCCATCAATCTGGAGGTGAGACACTGCATGAGCTTGGCCAGCAGCAACAGATCGACCTACCCAGTACCCCCTAACACAACACAGGCCCATCATCCAGCTCCACCAGCACTGGTGGAGAGAGGGAGCCTGCCCCAGCCCCAAGAATTCCTCCAGCACAGCACATCCCTACCAGCAGAGCAGCTCTTTAACTGCAGATGAAGACATGAAAATGCCCAACCCATGAGTTGCTTTACTCTATCCCTATACATGTTAAGGGTGTGTGCTAGAAGCAGGTGATAAATCCTGTCACAGGAAGGTGAATCCACCCCATAACCAGCAATGAAGGACTGTGCTCACAGCACCCATGCTCACCTGTATGGGCAACTCCAGTACCATGTTGATAATTCCATCCCCACTGGATGCAAAGTGAAAACCCTCTGACAGACGAACCCTTGCAACAGAGAGACAGTCAGACCTCTGTCAGAGGACTTCTCCACCCGTGCTGCAAGCCTTAAATACAAGACTGACTGTACCCTTCACCCCATAACACCCTCTTTCCCAAGACAGGGAGCTGCACGCAGGGAATGGGGAGATGAGACACCACACAGAACAACCTGTGTGAAGATCAGTATATTCCAGGCACAGTAACCCCTCCTGCCCTTTGGTATGTTTTCCAGGACTCCCGATTTCCTCAACTGCAGCTGGGTAAAGCATTGACCCAGGTAGCTCTAGAAGCCGTGTTCAGGACCAAACACTCTGCAAAGGGGTTCTCTATAATAAGGCTTCAGATCCAACTTGCTTTACCTGCATCCCCTGGACTAGCTGGAGAAAGGACTCCTGTTTAGGTGTGCAACTTACTCTGTGAGTGTGGAAAGCAGCTGGGCCACAGCAGTGATGGGCACAGCTGGTGCCAGCCCTGACTGGACACTCCAGATCCAACGCTGGTGGTAGAAGTACCGGGACAGCGAGGCCAGGGTGGAAGAGGCAGTACGATTGGCCACCATAGTGAGTGGGCCAGACACTGGGGGGTGCTCCAGGTTGAGAATGAAGGGGGCTCGATAGTCAGAAGGCAGCTTCTCATACCTGGAGAGGGCAGAAGTGTGGTGTGCTGAGATGGAAAAAATCCTTTTTTTTTTCTGCTCAGGGTCAGAGCTGTCTAGATCCACTTGCTGGGCCCAGGACAGAGCCCTCCAGCAGCAGAACATGGCTGGCCCAGCACAGGATCCTGCTCAGACAGCAGTAACTAAATTTACTTCTACATCACATTTAATTAGGAGTAACAATAACCCCTGCTGCAAGTCACAGCCACACAACACAAACCCACCACAACAAGCACCAGCTTCACAGCACTCTCACCCTAAAACTGGCACCATCATCCACAGACCCTCCCCTTTCCCACTTCCCAGTGCAAGGAGACTGTGCTGATGGCCTGGATCCCCATCACTACCTGATAAGCAGTTTCTCCAATGGTTTGTGCAGCACAACAAGGCAGGGTCTGTCCGAGAGGGCTGACTGGGCCCCAGCCACAGGTGGAGACTTGGAGGGAGAACTACTGCCAAACATTTTCCTCTTTGCTTTTGGAGTTGCCTCCTTGCTCTGGACCCTGTGGGGAAAGCGCAGCTGCAAGATTCGGTCCCGTAACTCCTCCACTATCTGTCATGGCAAAAGCAAAAGGTAAATGTGACCAACTTTGTCTGGAGACATAAGCTACTCAAAATAAGCATCCAGAACAAGAGCCTGACTAAAAATAATAGAACAATCCTTGAATATACAGGACAGCAGGAGTTAAAGGTCATTTTAGTTCTGAGGCACTAGCAAGATCAAGATGATACAAGGCTTTTTCGGTCCATATTTTAACAACTACAAGTATTTTTAAAAGCAAAAGAAAGGTCAAAAAAACCCCAAAGATGATTTCAAGGCTGAAGAAACTGCCTTTCAAAAACTCAGATGAAAAACAAATTAATTGCATGCCAGCTCCTCTGCAGAAGCAGTCCGAGCACCCACTCTCATTCTTCTCTCTTCCTCAACAGCCTACAGTAAATGTAAACTAGTCCATATCAGCTGTGGGAAACAGTCTGGCTCTGTCTTATGCATTCCCCCATGATCATATTCATGTGTCAAACCCCTATGGTAAAAGGTTTCAGGAGCTTAGGTTATTTTTTAGGTTAATTTTTTTCAGTATATTTTCACAATGACTTCCTGATTACTCTTTTTAGCTTTTAGCAGCTCTGAATATGGTTCTACCCACACCAGCACCTGATTCTCACAATAGCCCAGTGTTTTCTTTGAAATTTCCATGGTCAGGCTTCTTTTCACAATATTTGTTCAACTCGTTTCAATTTCTATTACCATTGTAGGCAAACGAAGAACAGCAGCTCCTCATCTCCTTCCTCAACACTAATTATTTCAGTAACTTTCCCCATCATTACTATGTCTTTTGCAAGCAAAGGGGCATCCCCAAATCTAAACGCTGAACAGAGTTCTTTTCCATACGATGCTGCCACTTGGGTCCCCTTCATGGTTTCATATTGATATCACAGGATCACTGATGGTGTTTAAGCTCTCAAATCCAAGGTGCACTATTCTGCAGTTATCAATACTGGCTTCCAGCCACCATTGTGCTGCTTAGGTGTCACCCAAGCACAAGGTTGAAACAGTTTTGCACCACCTGCACATTTTCCCAGCTCATTATCTGCTACCTTTCTACAAATGAGTTCCCTAACCTTTGACTGGAAAAACCATAAACAGCTTCTGCTGTGATGAGAACAGAGCACTTTTACAACTTACTTCTTTTGTCCCCCGAGACACTTTCTGTTTTATGACACCTCATTCCTTCTACAGTTGTGCCCTATATGAAGTCTCACCAAAAGCTTTCTGAAAGTCAGACTGTACCAGGTGCTTCCCTTCCCTTCTACATTGGAAACTTGAATAGCTCAGCACAAAAACTGCTTTCCCTTAAACAATGCAGGCTAAATTCTACTGCCATCCTCCACACTGGGTAGATGATCAGCCTTACGGCAGGTAAAAAAAACCAAACCAAAAAGGATTATGTATGATACAATTTATGATTTACATACAGCTCCTACCGCAATGATCTGGAGCTTGCCCACAGCTGCAGGGTATGGTGCCCATCTCACACTTTCTTCATGAAATAGATATTAACTTACACCTCCCAGAAGGAACTCCTTCATAAAACCTGTCACTTGGCATTAGCAGCCCACATGTTGGCCCAGCAACCAGTGCCCAAAACCTGGATCCCCAAAAGACATGAAAGGGCAGATCCTCCAATACACTACAACATTTTGTGGTTCATTATCTCAGAAAGAGATGGTCCTTCCCATGTTTGTAGCTTCTCCTCAGACTAATCTCTAACACTAAAACTAAGTTAGACAAACCAAAGGTCTCTTTCATGAAGATAAAAGATATAGGTTTAATGATAAACCTCTTGTTTATAATAAAAACTTCACATAGTTCAACAGCAGGTCATCTTTCTCATACTTATGTTTTACTTAAGAATACTTAGACTTGTCCCAGCCATTAGACCTGGAAAAACAGTCCACACAATAACCCCACCTTCTCCATCTGACTAGGGCAGACCATTTCTTTTGATACAAAAAGGTTATTAAAAGCAGACTTTTACCTCCTGAAAACATTCCCTGAGTATTTTTTTTTTCTTTCCCTGTACTGCTCACGTGGGGCATTGTTTGAATTTTAAGTCTTAACTCCTCCCTACCTGATAGATTAAGTATACCATAAGCAATTCACCATTACTGGAACAGATAGCCCAAGGAACATGTAGTACATTCATCACAGAGGTCTTTACTGATGAGTCAGACAAGTTCCTGAGAGATGGTATTGATTGTGCTTTTGTCACAAGGATGGGTCAGATAACCTTTGAGTCATTTTGAGCCCCGCGGTTGAAATAAGCAATGGGAAAAACATTCATGTGACCAGCTATTCTATTGATCTTCGAGTCTCTGGGTTTAGATCTTCCACAGACTTAACACAGAAAGTTTGCCCAAACTGACCCTTTCTGTTACAGAACGTTCACACTCATCTAAGCCTTAACATAGTAGTTACTTATTACAGCATACCTGCCCACAATGACGCCTGTGATCTACCCACAATTCCCACATGCAGAAGTTCTTGTGCTCTGCTCCTACCCCATGAAGCAGACAGCCAGCTCTCACCTTGTTCCTGGCCTGTGCAGGTGTGCCAATGGGGAACCCCAGCCGGAGAACCATGCAGGGAGCTTTGGAGATGATCCGTACCACATAAAACGAGGAAGGTGTAAGATCCTCAGAGCTAGGGAGGAGGGATTAAGACAGGGCTGAAATAGCATGGATCTTGCTGCTCTGTTGTGCCAGACCAAGTACAGGCTTGGTCCACAGAGCTCAACAGCCCACACAACTTCGCAGTATCAGTTCTGACAGGCAGAAACCCCCCAGCTGGCTTCTCTCTCCCTCTGGCCTGTGCCTGGAACACAACTGCACCAGTCCAGAAATAGCAGGATTTCACACCCACTTGTCTAGCTCTTATCCTCTCCTCTAGACATCTGCTTCAGGCCCATCACCGCACACTGGTCTAACCAGATCTTCGCTCTGGCCACGCGGCACCGCCTCAGAGCCACTCACCCGTGTATCAGTTTGACGTAGGAATAGCCCTCCACCAGCACGAAGCTGCTCCAGTCCCGCAGCAGGGACGTGAGTGCCGAGTGGGAGATGCGGCACTGGATGGTGCTGTAGCGGCCGTTGTTGCCTGGCGTGTGCAGGTGCTTGGGCACAGGCCTGCAGGGTGGGGCAGAAGGTCATTTCAGGACTACAGTTTCTCTTCTTCCCTCAGAACCCACAGAGGCTTTGCTACATCCACTGCAACTCATCCCCCGACTGGTATAACAGCCTTATTCCTCCACAGCAGACAGTGCACAGGCACCTCCCCTAATTGTGCACACTCCCTGAGCCACAGGGATCTCCACCTTGCAGAGAGCACATCCCTTGTTTTATCCTTTCTATCTCCCTCCATTCAATATATGACTATTATTCATATAACTCTGCAACTAGGACCCCCCTCAGGAAAGCAATACTTTTGGGAAAGATGTCTTCCATCAGCAAACAAAAACTCCCAAATGGATGGTCCCACACCCCGGCCTGCAATCAGGAAATCCAAACCCAAGAGGTACTTGAGAAACAATTTATCCTCCTGAGAACAGCCCCCACTCTCAAACAAGATGACTTCCCAACCCCACCATACCTCCCAGATAAACAAGCCTTCACCATCCACTCAATAGTGAGGCCCTTCCCTCGGCCACAGGTACCCACAGAGCTGCTACAACTGCACAACTGGGCTGAACTGGACACCTGCTTTCCCAGGCTGGCCCACCTGGCCCACACAGTGCACATGAGCTCAGCCCTGCCCATTACATACGTGTCATGCTCCAGAAGGACGACGATACGATGCATGTGCAGCCACCTCTGCCAGAAGTTGGCATCCATGGAAAGGATAGGCTTCCAGTAGGAGGCAAACTGGGAATGGCTTGAGTCAGACCCACTGTGCTGCAGGGACAGCACCTGAGAAAGTGACAGGACAATATTCAGCAGGGAAGTGTCTGGTTCCACCCAGAGGGAGCAGGAATTTCTCTAGCAGCTGAGCTGTGTACGCCTAGAAGGTCACATCCCTTGCTCTGGGTGACTTCCTCTGAGCAGAATAAGTGTGTTCACATTGAAACAGGCAGTTCAATGTAAGCAAAAATAAATTAGGCTCGTGAAATGTCAAGTTAATTAGGAATTTGACTACTTAGCATCAAGTAAATCAACTGTGAAAAAGATGGCATATGTAATGGTGTGCTTTCTGATCGAGAGGGGGATATATGGCTTGTGTCAGTAAAGCAATTAAACACTGAGATTACTCAACTGAGAGTACTTATGCAAATAGGGTGCCAGAATGGGTGGCATTGGGCAACTCTAATATATTTGTATGGTAACACTGATTCCACCAGCTACAGCAGCTCTGCTGACACAGAAATAGTGGTGGTTAGCCATAAGAAGGGAGGCTCCAGATATACTGTGGGATACATAACCCTACAGAGGGAAAGTGTATTCGGCAAAACTAAAGAAGGGTTTAAATAATAACATTAAAGGGATAGTTCTCCTAAATTAAAGCTCCCCTAGCTTTTCTGCTAGTCCTCTTCTATCAATGCCAAGGACACTGCTAGCAGGGAACAGATAATATGCTGGCATTTCTGCTCGGTGAGCTTCAATGGGTTTGAATTTTGCAGTGGAAACCATTAGCTCATATTTTGTTTAGTTTCTGCTGTGCAGATGACAAGTATCTCTCTTGCACCTTCCACGTGAGTGCTCAGAGCAATGAGCCTATTAAACAACTATTCAGCACATCCTGTATCTTCATCTGACAGTACTGAGCTACACCAGCACACAAGACTGCCAGCAGCGACTCCACACCTATGAGGAATCCACTGAAAAAGCACAGCAAAACTAAGTGTGTCAGCCTCCCCATCAGTCTCACACACCACATCACTACAGGAGAAGGCTTCACAGCACACTTGGGAGACTTGCTGTTGGGCTTAGAGGTGTAGCTGCAGCAATGAAGACATAGGGTGATGTCTCAGAGGGGAAAATGTATGGCACAGGATGTTCTCCACACTACACCTGAACTCACTGAGCAGGACAAGATGAAGACAAGATGAGCAAGAAATGAAGCCTAAATGCAAGACAGAATAGGCATGTGGTACAACCTATCCCACATTAAACAGGAGAGAAAGGGAACATACCGGAGTGGTGGAGCCTGGGGGGATGTAGAAGAGGGGCACGCCATTCTTGGTGCTCTCGGGAATGGTGAAGTGTTCTGGGACTGTGTCAAAAGACTGCAGATGAACCAACATCTGATCTGTCTGGTTGATGCTGAAAAAGAAGAGGCAGTTAGCCCCAAAAGCCCATGCTCTCCCCCTTGCTGCCCCAGCCAGCCCAAGGCCTGCACACACAGCACTCGCTGTGACTGGGAGCCCATCCACACCAATGGAGCTTTCTTGGGCAATGCTGGGATTCAATGCCATGAACATGTGAAAGGGGTTCCAGTGTAATAGCCTAATATATAAGGAGGATGATCAGAGTTGGAAATGAAGTGCTAGAAAAGGAATCTGCCAAACAGTAGGGAGTAATGGTCACCCTGGCCAGGAAATGGTTATAACCCAATGGCCCTTCAGCCTTAGACATGTTTGCTCTCAGTGTGACCACAAAGCACAGCTGCAAGGGTGTGCTGTAAGAACACATGACCTCCATGGGATGGCAGTCAGAGGTAAGGTTTGCAACACAGGATCCAGATTCGGGAGCAGCAATACCATCACCACAAACCATTCTCACAAACCAGGTCACAGACCAGTTCCAGCCTTTTCTGGCTTGTTGCCAGTCATGCCTCTTCCTCAGAGCACATTCCTTTTGGACCTTGGGTTGGGATGGCCACCTGCATAAACCACGTCTTAGCATGCCAAGGAAGGAATTAGTTACACTGGAAACTGCTGGGGACAGTGCAGCTCACCTCTGCAAGGTGTTCCAGAAGCGCCGGATGACTGTAGTGCGGTACAGGCTGGTGATGGGCTTCCTCATGGTGCAGCTGATGTCATGCAGAATGTCATAGCTCCCCTCCATCGTCACCTCCACCCACGTGCTGCGCTTCGAAGGGTCCAGGGGCCAGGGAGTTACAGCCAAGTACTCAATCCTCATGTTATGCTTCCAAAGCAGCACTAGCTTGACCTCCAGCTGAGACCCACCTGCATGGGAGCAGAAGAGTAAGTTCAGCTGCTTGTTGAATACACATCTGAGCTTTTACCTCTGACCAGGGATTCCTGAGTACCATGGGATCATTTGATCACTATGAGGGGAACAAAGTAATCTAACAACTGTTTGCTTTCACTAAGTCACTCTCTCTCCTCTGCAATGAAGAGAGGCTTTGCTTGCACAGTAGTATTTGGTGAAGAGCTCTCAGTTCTTTAAATGTACATGTACTATATCTACACTAGAGAAGGAAACAAACTCAGAGGAGGTGCTGACATTTGCAGTGGGCTCTTCTTCACAGCTTTATCTTTGTTTCCAAGAAAACTGTTGCTTTGCACTTATGAACAATTTGTTAAGCTATCAATTTTCTCATCTGCACTGTGCAAAGTTAATCTATCCCACTGCAGAAACATGGATATCTGGACATAATGGGCACAAATCATGAGCAACCTGGAAGGTGAGGCTCAATTCTTGAAATAACCTCTGTTCATCCTGCAAAGACCATATTTCATGCAATCTAGAACTTCAAGCATCACAGCTTCTCACCATGTTTACCTTCTCTTCCCAAAGTTAAGATGTTGAGAACGAATATTCACCTGTTCTTCAAACTGTACATTTTTACCTTTTCCTTTAAGCGAGCCATTGCATCTCTATCAAGATTAACACAAACACCTGACACACCAAGCCTTGCTGAGCCAAAAGAGCAGAGAACTGTCACACTCCTGCTGACTGTGCAGGTGTATTTGTACTGAAACATCCCAGGGAAACACATGACCACGCTGCGATTTCGAGTGCTCAATCATCCATTCTGATGTCCAGCCTGCTCTGTAGTTTGCCAGACTTGCAGCATTTGTGTGATAAGTGATTGGATGTGCTGGAAACCATCCGAACAGATCATCAGCCTGGATGCTGTTTCCTGCAGAGTTGCATTTGCTGCTGTCGAAGGCACATCATGCCATCCCCTTCACAAGCTGATTGCACTCCTCCTTAAAGCCAGTTTTTTGTTCCCATGGTCCCTGCTGGGAGGCTCCCTCAGAGTCCTCTTCCTCTGTCAATGTGTAGAAGAAACCATCCAGAGTACATGCCAAATTCATGCTCAGTTGTTCTTTTGATTAAATTATCTTTATTTTGAGAAGCTTCATTTCCATAACACTGACAGGGAGTGTGCACTAAGAAATCCTTACCCAGTGTCAGCTGGGTATGATAGAACATCCATTCCCCTTTACAGTCCCAGACCTTCCTGCACCTCAAGAATTCATCTTTCCTGAACAAAGATGATCGGAGGTGAATACTATATTTTACCTGTACTTCCTCTGAGAGATTACTAGGTTTTTATTTAAGGTCACCAATATTTTCCACAATGGGTGCTTTGCATTACTATAAATGCATTTTCTGGGGTTGCACTACCTCTTGTTTCCTATGAAGAGTGTTTAGTTCATCAGACAGGCTAAACGAGAATTTATAAATTCATCTCTTTCCATTTCATACTGTCACCTCACTTTTATTGCTTTAGGGCTCATCCACTGCTTTCTGCACAATATTTTGGTTCTCATAACAAATCCTTTCCGCTTCATCAACAGCAAACACGATAAGCAAATTCCTACATTTTTTGCTTAGATCATTAATGAAAATATTTCCAACTTTCACCTCTGTTTCCATTAGTCATCCTGGCTTCTCTCCTACAATACCACACAAGCAAAACTAAAACCACAGGAAAAATATTTACTTAGTTTGAAGTAATACCCAGATGAATATTTAGCCTTTTTTTACTGCAAAGCAACCTATTGGTTCTTGACTTTATTGTTAATAAAACTTTTTGTTACTTTAATTTCCTTCATAAAGTCCAGCTCTGTTTTTTCAGAAAGCTCACTTTGTTTTCCCTATTCCTGACACTGAGAACAGCCACTCTTCCGGACCAGCTAGTGCCCAGCCACTTTTGGGGCTGGACTGATTCACAGAGGAAGACGATGTTTTGAAAACTGTCCTCCAGGCTCTGCTCAACACACAGCAACACAAAACAGTCAGTGAGAATTTTTTTCTTGTTTTTGTTTAAGAGGGAAATTCCCTGACACTGTCCCAGAAAGAAAAAGGAAGAGATCTGGGCTCCATTACACACCGTATCCCCACAGCTTCTCTCCCTTCCATACCTTCCAATCCTCCCCCTTTCACAAGCGTTTCTGCATTCCTAACTAACCATAGTTGCCTCCTAAATATCTAAAAATTAAACAGTGAGGGTAACCAGAGCACTTATAAATATCACAAACAACCTCTCCAGGCAACTCTGAGCACAAAGCTAGCTATTTATTCTATTTTGCCTTTGGTAAAGTGAAGGAGAAAAGCAACAGTGTCAAAGTCGACAACTGCACTCTTTCCTCTTGCTTCACAGCCAGCTGGCTCCTTAACCTTTAGTTTGCAAGTTTTGGCAATCCAGGTTAATTAACTGTTCTTTGTTATACACTTCTCTGTAGAATGACCCAGAAAGCCCTGATTAGCAACGTGCTTTTCCTTAGCAAAGGCAGTGCTTGATCATTGGTAAATTCTACTGTTCAACAATTTTTCTGATCACAGCCAGCAACTCCACAGAGCATTTAGCCTTTCCAAAGCACAAGTAACATTATCTGCTACTATTCTGAAGGCTGCATAGAAAAAGGCACTGTATTTTTGATATCTCTGACATTTCATTTTTAAATTCCTCCTAAAAAATACACAGAAAGTATTTCTGGCTCAAGGAGCTCCTGAGCTACAAAGAGCTAGAGAGTGCTCAAAGGGAAGGAAAACAGGAAGGGAGAATAGAGATTATCACGTATGTTTATCCTATTCTTACTCCTCCCTGTGCACCTGCCCGTAGCAATTCACCACAGAAAGTAACTGATCCAGTGCAGCTGCTCTTCTGCTCTTGTAAAAACAGAAGGCCAATCCATTTAGCATTCCAGGGGGTAAAAGACAGCAGGAAGATACCCAGAAGAAAGTGCAGGAGGCATGGTGAACATTTGCTGATATTTCTGATACCTATACAATACAGGAATTTGCTGCTTTACCATATCCTGAGCCAGAGGTTGTAGCTACACCTTTGTGCAAAAGGATCCATGAACTTGTCTGACTGCTTTTCAAATGGTTCACACCTGGTGAATGCTCTTCCAGCATTTCCATGTAGGACTACACAGTCACCAAGAAGAGCACTTCACCATTGCTGCCAGATTAAAGAGAAAGGCTCTTTATCCAGCGATGTTCCAGCTGTAAGTGAACTGGTGCACAGAAGGAGAAAAGACATTGAGTGTGGACAGGAATTGACTTGTCACACTGTTTCGTAGACATTCCTGGACAAGGAGAAGGCAATGGATCTAATCTGCCTGGATTTAAGGGAAGTATCTCATGCCACACCTATGCTAGTGAAATCTGCAGACATTACTAGAACAACTGTCTCATTGAGAGAATTTAGCAGATATTTACTTTTAACTGAAAACTCCAGAAACAAGAAATTAGGGAGATTCCTGGAAGACCAACTTTAGAAATTATCCCACCTAATCTGATTGTTAGCAACCTTCCCCCCACCCCCAAAAAAAAAGTGGTGATTTAGATCCACTCGGTTTGTAAGATGCATCAAGGCAAAAGAACTGCAATTCCCAGTCATCACAGAGGAACAGTGAGGGGAACTGAGCGAGATGAACTTCAGAGTACTATCATGTGAAGGATGGCACATTTAGGGACAATTAAACAAACAAAAGGCAATAAAAGAATCCCAAGGACTCATCAGCTGGAAGAAAAGGTGCACGAGAGATTCAGGGATTTCTGTGATAACACCACAATGCAATCATGGAGAAAGCTCATGTGATTCCCAGTCCATCACATTGGGTATTTTACTTCAGAAGCAGGGTATTATTAGCATTGCTGAACAAGGCACCGATAAAACCACATTTACAACACTCTTATCAACTGTTTTGAGAAGTATGAGACCAAACTGAAAAGAGAACAACTGAAGGGAAAAAAAAAAGAGTGCTATTAACCTGAATAAACAAACAAAAAGCCTGCCCTTATGAAAGAAAGGTGAAACATGGGCTTGCTTAACCTGCCAAAAGGGAGGTTACATGGAGAAAGACATCATTCTTAAATATGTTTGTGTAAGCCAGAGAAGGAGGATAAACTTAATTAAAGACAATAAACTCACACAGGTCTAATTTGGTCTCAGGAAGTTTAGAAAGGAAGGTAGAGAAAGAGCAATGAAGCCCTGGGACAATCCTCCAAGCAGAGCAGTGCCATAAGGTATTTACGTGGTTTTAAGGCAGACCACAGTAAATTCATAGAAAACATCATATGGCAAGTTTGGAATGACTTTGGAGTTATATCACAGACATTGACTCCCTGATATAAAACATTGTCTGTACTAATAAGCTTGCATTTGGATTTTTCCATCTCCCCTTCAGTTAAAGTACTACCACTAGTCACAGCTGGAGATGGAAAGTTAGGTAGGATTTCCTGGCACTGCTTAGGATACTCAAAAACCCCTCAAGGTTCCTAGTCAGCTGCTAGTTCTCACACTCCAGGTGCCATAATCTCTAGTGAGTCAGATAAGAGAACAGGATCACTGGAAGGTTTTATGGTCTTCTTGAGTTGGTCATGGTCCTGACTGGTCTGACATTTTCACCTAACAACAGCCTTTGGAATTTCTTCCTTTGGAAGGTTGTAGTTTGGAGACATTAAGTCTGTTGCACCAAAGTGCTCAACTTCACGTCACCATTTTGGAGTGCATCTAGCAAAGGACTAGAAAGGGATGAAAAAAAGGAGAAATACAGATGAACTCCCAGAAAACCCAAGTTCTGTTATTAGTTTCTCTGCAATTGTGGGGAATCATTTCCAAGACACAGAGCATCACTGTCTGTCCCTCCCCTGGCACTTACAGCCACAGAGGATGAGCCTGGCAGGTGCATAACTGCACAGCAATACCGGGCAGCCCCGCACCGTGAAAACAGAGTCTGGGGAAAACAGCTCCTTCCTCCACAATATCAGCCACTCTGCTGAAATGGCAGACCCTGTACTCCCCTCTAAAGCAGCTGAGAAGACAGTCCTATCCGAGCCTCCAGCTCCCAAGGCAGCAGAGTCACCTTTTGTGATGTTGACCTCCCGGATGCTGTAGCCCTCGCGCAGCCGGACCGACACCACGCTCACGAGGTCGGCGTGCACCTCCTTCTCCGTGTGCTTCTTCCTCCGCATCGCCAGCGCGGGGTTGCTGCTTGCAGACACCAGGTGCTCGTTGAACAGCCTGTGCTGGGACACTGCAAATGGCAGAGACGGGGTTTGTGAGGGAGCAGCTCCCCTCGGCCTAGTCCCATGGCAACGTGCCTCCTGAAGTGTTTTATAAAAGCTGCCAGGAACACTCGCCTTGCTGGCCTGAAGAACAACACATCCTTCAGGCACCACTCACACCCACTCCTGATTCTGCAGCGTAGCAAACAGGTTCACGAGTGTGGCCAAGAGGCCTGGGAGAGGGGCAAGGTGGGGTGACAGGCCCTGGTTCCTCTGGGACAGCTTTCGGACAAGGCACACGCTGGAGTTACGTCTCACCTAGACAGGCAGAAACCGCACAGCTGCTGCAACAGTTGCACAGCAAGCTTTTGGGCTTTACCAATTTCCCTGGAAAACCTGAATTCCCAGGTGCTTTCTAAAAGCACCTGGATGTGGAAGCCTTAAGCTTAAACCCTTAACAGCTGATCTTTTTAAAATTCAACGTTTCCAAGTCCCAGGCCAGCTCTCTTCAAACTTGCCACTGTGTGTGGCTTCTGCTGCCAAGTTACAGAAGGCGAAGATGGCACCAGCACAGCGCCAGGGCACGAAAGGGTGTTTCCATGTTTTACTGGTAACTAAACTAATCTGTCCTGGCACACTCCCAGTCAGTAACAGTCACAAAATAAGAAAAACCAAGAGAGGCATTTGGGATGGTTCTCAGGGGCCTGGTTTTCCAATCCTAACTGATGTCTGCAAGACCAGCTAGGAGAAGCTCTCCAGAATGTCCCCACCTGAGAGCTAACCAGTGTTCAGGGAAGGGCGGGCAAGAGCTTCTGACCCCTCTCCAAGTTCCAACACAGTGAGCCTAACTGCAGATTGCTGAACCAAGACCACAGAAAGGGGAACAGTGGTCCTCCCAATCCCTGGAACCAGGAGGGGAGTCACAGATGAGGCTGTGTGACCAACTGTGCCCAGAGCCTTCAGAAGGCACTGCCCAGAGGGGACAAGGGAGAGTATCAGCATAACCAAGCCTGGAGGAGTCACCCCAAAGAGGTGCTGTAAGACATCCAGCTGCTGGAAGGAGGACATGCACATTCCTCACCACAGTAATACTCAGGATTCAGAGACTCCCCAGTACGCAGGAAGGAGTATAGCAGGAATGCCTTGTGATACACATTCAGATCCAGGCTCAGGGGATCCAGCTCAGGGCACGTGGAGAGGTAAGCACCAAAAGTGGCCATGGCGATGAATTTCATCAATTCCACATTGGGAACGTGGCCAAAGCTGCAATCGTACGAGTAGACACCGCCCACCTGCAGGATGGAAAAAGAAGACACCTGAGAGAGTGCAGCAGTGCTGAGGACAAGGCAGAGGGCTGGTAAGGGACTCAAACAGGCAGAGAAGGCTCCTCTTCCCCTCTGGAAGTGAATGCCACCAACAAGAATCTATCTGCCTCCCCCTCTGCCCCACACTGCCAGGTACCAGACATACCTGCACAAAGGAACAGGCCACTGTGCCACTGCGCAGCTGGTTGAGTAAAGTCTCGCACACAGCCACATCAGGGACACTGGTCACACCATCCGTAATTATTATTATACCTGTAAACAAGGCAGCATCTTAGAGCGTCTTCCATCTCAAGCAGCTATCAATCTCCCATTATATCCATCAAAGAGAAAGTTTTAGGCAGGGCAAAAGTAGAAGGAAAATCCCAAGCATGGTTTAGAGCTTCCAAGGCATTATGGAGCTGGCAAACACCTTGGCTAGGTACAGCACAGCACTTAGCTCTGCACATCCCGGGTTGTCCTGAGCAACAGTCACAGCTGTACTTCCTCACAAACTCCCCAATGCTGACACATAGCATGTGGCATGGTGTTGTCCTCCCCATTCCCACCGCCACAGTTTGCCCACAGCGTGGAGAGTAAAAGCTAATGTTGAAATTTCATCCCCAACAGAAGGGTCCAGGTACCAGCCCTTATAAAATTAACCTCAGCCTAAGGCAGGAGGAACATAACCCTTTGCAAACAACTGGGCAAACCTTAACCCCGAGGATGCAGCCAACCTGCACTGGAGTTGGAGGGCAGCAGCTGCAGTGCCAGGATCCCTTGCCGGACCATGCTGACCAGGCCAACATCAGCAGTGACAACAGACACGCTGGGCTTCCTCCCGGATGACTCCTGCCCCTCACTAGGGCTCTCTTGGCTCAGGGGTGACAAATCCACCTGGAAAAGTTAAAAAAAAACCCACAAGGCCCCACGGGGCTGATTTCAGCCTAGCTCTAGTTCTCGCTCTTCCAAACACCCTTCAGTCTGGCAGTCCCATGGCACCACAACCCTGGAGCACCTCAACAGACTCCACTAGTAGCTTTAACTTCCAGGTGCTCTCAAAATCCTGGTCACTTGGGCCCATCAGAACAGCTGGACAAGGCTGCTTGAGGGGAGAGGAACGGGACAGCATGCTCAGAGCTTTATTCTAAGCTGATTTCTCACAGAAGAGGAAATATGAGACACTTTGGGGTCACTTAGAGCAAAGCAGTTCCCAACAAAAGAGATGGTGAATACCAATTTATTCCCCTTGTCACTTAGTAGAAGCTGCAGCTATTCAGCATCTACTTAATTTACTCTTTTCAGCCCAGAAAGGCTGGAGAAGCAGAGACAGTTGTGTCTCACTGCAGCACAGGGAGCAAGGAGCCTCGTAAGGACAAAATCTAGTGCCTATGCATTTACCTCTGCTCAAACAGCACTCGTTATGCACTGCTGATACAAACAAATGCAGGTAGACTTCTCCACCTTCTATGAAAAATATCCCCCAGGCAAAGCCTGAAATTTGTATAATTACACCAGCGAGAAACCTGTGTTCATAGTCCCCTCATCCCCAGAAGGCTCTGGCACTTCAAACCTGTAATAAAATATTGCTTCATTTTTACTGCTAAGACAGAGAATGGGCAGGACCCTCCCCTGCAGATGACTGGAGCTGGAAGAAGAAAACTGGGACTAAGGAAACTTTTGTTATGCACAAATGGGAGCAATCTGTGGCTGTGAGCAAAAAAAAAAAAAAAAATCTATCCATCGCTTTAATTTGCCAGATGCCTTAAATTCAGACACTCCGTAACAATGATACAGCTAATACAACTTCAAAAGTTAAAAAAGTTTCAGTTCCTGCCCTTCCCCTGGGGCCTCCCACCTCCACCCCACAGCCTGTGGCAGGACTCACCAGTCCCTCTGGCCTGCAAGAGCGTCTCTTTCCCCCATTTGCATGGAAGAAGTTATAAGGTAGTTCACCATGAGAGAAATACTGCATTCAAGCAGGAATGCATACAAAGCACTGCAAAAACACCATCTGGACTCACTAGACCAGGTATTTACTTCCTCCAATCTTCCTTCTGTTCCAGGACTGACAGTCTTAGTAATCAAACACACAAATTTCAGCTGGAATGTGAGATTCGGAGCACTCCAGATATAGAACTGCAACACATCACCAGTAGCCTCTTGCTCATCTGATTTTGAGACTTTTTTTTCCTTTTAGCTCAAACTCTAATAACTAATGCTAAATAAGAATTAAATCACCTCAGACAGGCCAATAATGACTTTGACTGCAAGAAGATCAAAAGCAGCGTGGCCAGCAGGTCGAGGGACATGACCTTTAAAGGTCCCTTCCAACCCAAACTTTCTATGATGCTTCCATTAATTTCCTGATACACATATCCATGGCTACTAACCAGCATTTGCCACAGATTTCAAGGAGTATTAGAAACTGCACCAGTTTTAGAAACTGCACCAGTTTTATGGTTAGTTTTCATCATAACAACAAAGTATTTTCATTCATGAAATGTAACAAGGGTTAAGGGCATATTCACAGCTATTTATAGATTAATAATATGGGCATAATCACCTCTCCCACAATCTTCTTCAGAGAGAAAGCACATCCTACCATTTGTCCTATGATGTCAGACAAGTCAAGCTGTTTTACTGCACAGAAATCTTAGGGAAAGTAATCATTCTCATCAGTCCTTCTAAACACTGGTTCTGCTTTCCTCAGAGTTAAGGTCTCGTTAGCACATCCCACAACATTATCTTACAAATCCTCAGCTGTCCCTTCTGCAGACCTACCCTGCTGTTCCTCTTGCCACCTCACCTCAGAGGGGCCTCAGAGCGCAGATCTCAAGGGAGCCAGGAGACCCCAACTACCTCTGCCCTCCTTACCTGAGGTTTGGGTTCATACTGTTGCTGGAGCATCTCTGCCACTTTGTTCTCAAAGGCACACAGCTGTGTGTAAACTTGGTGCAGAAAGGCCTCACGCTTCGTCTCATCCAGCTGACAGCCCTGGAACAGTACCTGGCCCAAAGGACACACACATCAGTCATCACTTTAAGGTTTTATAGCACCACCCCACAAAAAGGTACACAGGAACACAGCTCCCTATGGTGAAGTTCAGACACATCCCTGACAAAGAACAGGTACAACACAGGCCACTTCTCTCTGCTCCTGCTCAGAGCCAACTGCCCCTGAGCAGTGGTCTCGTGGCATCTGCAGTTCACTCTGCAGCAGATGCTCACATTGCACTTTGGGAAATCTTCTTGGGCAAGAAATTTTTACTTCATTTGCATTCTCCCAAGATAACCAGCTGTCAGGAGAAAATGATGTGGGATCCTTGCTAGAAGCCATTAACTCTGGTCTGATGTTTCTAAGGAAGGCCTGTTTGTTCTAATCTAACTCACCTATAGACTGATCCAATTATCTTCCAAAAGGAAGTAAAGAAAAGAAAAAATTAGACTGGACATTACAGAAGAGGTTGAGTGATGTGACAGAGTGAGCCTGCCACCACAGAAACTCCCCAAGCTGATAGGCATGACACCTGTGTTTACAGATGTAGCCCAATATAGTGTTAATAGGGGAGATACTGAGGCACAGCAGGATGGTGTCTGCAAGATTGCTGGACAAGACGACACACAAAATACCACTGGCAAATGGAGAAGTTCCTGCTACGCTTAATCTGGTAGCACCTAAGAATGGACCAAAGTGAAGCCCACGCTCCTCAGGCCCTACACAGACCCTGGCAGAAGGCTTGGGCAGGGCAGGGAGAGGGAGGGAACACGCACAGACTAAGAGGCTCCTCCTGTTACCACCCACTTTCTCTGGTATTAGCAAAATAATGAAACACACCATCAGAAATGTGTAAGTAATGTGAAAATACAGTAAGGTGAAAGAGATCAAGGATGAACTTCAAAAATCACACTGGCACCATAAACCAGACTTGAATTTGTTAAACAGACCTACCCTGACACAAGTAAAATCTCACTGATAATCTCAATACTGGGGCTGGCTGCTCCCTCCAGCAAGCAGCAGCATATTCATAGCAATGCAAAGAGAAGAAGGTTTGTAGGAAGGGGCAATTATTTTTGAATTAACCACTGCTACACAGCTGGAGCAGGCAGACAAGCTTTTGGGCACATGGGCTCTGCTTGGATGCTTCAAGCTAATTACAACAGGAAAAAGAATTAATCGACAGAAATTAAAAACAACAACAAAACATCAACGAGCACACTTTCAACATGAGGCAAATATCCCCTGAGGCCCAATTCTAAGGTCACGCCTGTGGGCAGCATTCTCCAGAAAAACCTCTGCCTTCTGCCCAGAAAGGAGAAGTTGCTCACACACACTTCTGCACCACACCAGGCCACATTCTAGTGAGACGAGGCTGCAGCATCACAGATCACAGAGCCCAGCTGCCACACACCCCTGCTTTCCTCTGCCCTCACAGGACCCTGGCACAGAGAGCTGAGCCAAGCCCAGGGACAGTCTGAACCTCACCTGGTGGGACTGCAGGCCAATGATGGAGGAATATGCCTGGATGGTGACAAAGATCTCTGGCTGGTAGATAATGTCTGAACCAGGGATACGAAAGGGTCTTAACAATCCCACCAAGCATCGGGAAAGGGCATGAAACACTTCATCAAAAATTATCTCCCCCGTTGAGTCATCCTGCAGAAACAGAGAAAGAGAACAGCTTTTTCGTTTTCTAGGACCTTCAATCTCATTGCTGGTTGTCCCACCCCGCAGAGCCAGCAGCAAACATCCTTCTGCAATGGCAGCTGGATTAAAACAACAGCTCCCATAAACAAAAATCACACGTTGAGCATCCAGTGGAGAAACAGGACCTGCCATTAAGCTGCTCGGCCAGGAGCACAGCTTTCCCAGCTCCCTCCTGGGAAAAGCAAAACTTCTGCAAAAGTTAAGACTGACACTGAGAGCAATAAGTCTTCTCAGCAAATAGAAACGGGTCCAGCCTTTTAAGGCAGAACACCCCGGAGAGACAGTTTCTGCACTTACCACAATCCCCGTGGAAGGGCTCAGATCAAGCTCGATCACAAATCGGTACTGGCGGGCCAGGAAGGTGACCCGTGTGGAGGGCACGAGGAGATAGGGCCTGGGCTGGACGGGCTCGTCCGGCTGCCACCCGTTAGGCAGGATGCTGAGAACATCAAGCTCATTCTCCGACTTCACCTGCCAGAACAAGCAAATGAGAGAAGGAAGAATCCACGTCACAGGAAGAATCAGAGAAAGGAGCCGGGTTCGGATGCTCTGCAGGGTCCAGGCGCTGCCGGGTGGCGCAGCACCAGCCGCGGCGACCCCTCCAGCCCCGGACACCGACTCACCAGCTCGGGCTCGGGCACGGCCCGGATGACCTGGTGCAGGCGGCTGAGCACCCAGGCGAGGCGCACGTTGCGGGAGATGCGGTAGTCCTTCTTCATCAGGAGGAACACGTGTCCTGCCTCCTCCACCTGCGGCGGGATCACAGGTCAGCCCCGCAGGAGCCCCCGGCCAGCGCCGTTCACCCCGGGCTACTGCGGCCCCGCACCGGGGCAGCCCCGCTGCTCCCCCCCGCGGCCCCGGGCCCCGCGCCACCCCCGGCCCTCGCCGAGCCCCTGCTCCCCGGCCCGCTCCCGGCCCCCGCCCCGCCGCCCCGCTCCCCGCCGAGCCCAGCCCGGCCCGCTCCCACCTCCCCGTCGGGCCGCTCGGCCCCCGCCATGTCGGCGCGGCCCCGCCCCCGGAAGCGCCGCTCTCCCCGGACACCGGGGCGGTGCCAGCGCCGCCATCGCCGCCGCCAGCGCCGCCATGCAGGTGAGGGCCGGGGAGCGGGGCCGGGGGCTCCGCAGGGACCGGGCACAGCCGCGGCCGGGGCAGCCCGGGCGGGAGGCCGAGCTCGTGGTGCTCCCCCGTGCAGCGGCCTCTCCGTTGTTGCTGCGCGGCTGTGGGGCGGGTGGCGGTGCGTGCGGCTGTCTGAGCGCACCGGCCCCTCTCAGCCCCTGCTGCAGCCCTGGGTGAGAGCCCTCAGACCAAAGGCCCCCCTGCCCCAGCAGCCTGGCTTTGCCACCGGTGCCCAAATGAAGTCGTGAGAGCAAAACACGCTGCTGGGTGTCATTCTGTGTAGACTGTTGCTGGCGTATCCCTTGTGTTGAACAGCCTCGAATGAAATTTCATCAATGGCAGGAGGACCTGGTTACTTTTTTTTTTGAAATGCTGTGAATTTGTAGCATCCATAATGTGCAAGAGTTGTGCAGGTTAATGACAGGTTAACAGGCTGTAAAGATCTACCTCCTTTGGTTTGAAACCTCTGCCTGCTGGCTTCGTGCAAGTCTTCTGGTTGTCCTACCGGAAAAGAAAGTTAAAGTGGATTGTCCCGCAATTCCTTATCTATAGGGGTTTTTTACATTTTCTCTCCTTGTGTGTACCAGTCTCTTTACTGTTTTTAATTGATGCATTTATAGAACTATGAATAGTCTTGATCATGCCTGTTGCCTTTATTAGTACGTATTCCTACATTATCCCTTTTCAGCTGGAGGGACAAGAGTGACTCGTAATATTCGAGATGCAAATCAGGCATGCATTTATGCGGTCACATAAGGATGCTTAGTTTTCTGTTGCTTTCCTAATAAATCCTATGGTCACTTCCTTGACTGCCTTTTGAGCCTTGGGCAGATGTTTTCACGAGTTATCCTCAGATAATCCCAAGATCTTGTTGATGAGTAACAACATTATCAGCTCAGAGAATGTCATTGTGTACGGGTGGGGCGGGGGTGTTCCCCTTTGTTTTGCCAGTCATGATTTTTTTCCCCCTTTGTTTTGCCAAATGCGTTGCTTACATTTACCTACTCTGAATTTCACCTTTATCTCTCAGTTGCTCCCTATCAGCAGGTGCTGCAACAAAAACCCCTCCAATAAGCCTTATCTTTACTACCTCTGGGCAATTTAGCATTGCTAACAAACTCCTCAAAGCATTCCCTGTGAGAGGCACAAGAGGCAGGCACAGCAGAGAGGCACGGCATTCCTTAGAATCACTGGTCAGTCTTATTGTACGCATGCTTTGCACTGCTTACGTCTGCTTCCAGCTCCTTATGGCTTTGGGAAGAGCCTGGGAAAGAAGGAGGCTTGGAGCAGGCCATGTGCAATGGGATTTCATTCATCTTGAAGGCTTCTTGGATAAGCACAGGCAGCGGGCCAGGGGAATTGTTATGGGTGCATATGCTTGGCACCCCTGTAGTAAAACACTGGCTACCTGCCCGGCTTGTAATACAGGCAGTAGTTAATCTTCTTGCACAAACCCAGTGCACACAAACAGTTGTAGGCTCATTTCTTAATTGGACAGGAACTGACTAGTCCTGTCACAAGATGGAGGAGGGCGCCTTTGTCTCCAGGTGGGACAACCAGCAGCAATCCCTTCCATGAACCCACTCCACGGACGGGGGATCAAATTTTAACAAGGTCGACTCAGCTGTTATTCTAAGGTGGCTAAAATGAAGTCCCGTCAATAATTACTGACTTGTCAGAATATAAATAAAAGAGAATGATATTGTGTTCTCATGAACATGGGAGATGCCTGATAACCTCTCCTGTGAAGCTTACGCTGGTCCAGTGTATTTAAGCAGTGCAACAACAAACCCAATAGCAAGCGTGCCAGCAGCCTGAGTCACTCTATCTGCTTTCCCAATCGGTATTCCCTTTCTATTATTTGATTGCTTTGTCCCACCCTCCTCATGGATTATTATTGTACAGTTCTCAACTTACACGAGCAGTTCATTAGGGCTGGGACTTTAATTATATTTTGCGCAATACTGTAGTATGAGTAAGTTAGAGTAGATAGGATTTTAGGAGGTTTTTGCAAGAGCCAAGGACATGCCTTGGTGTCTTTGACATCAGATCCCCTGTCTTGACACTTTATCTGTCAACGTCTTCCCTCACCCGGATGGGGTTATCAGTGGAAAAGATTATTTAAACAATGTAATCCGAGCAAAAGGCAGGAGGTGAGGTGTGTGTGTGGGTATGACACCTTCCGTGTCACAGCAGGGCCTCCCGCAGCCAGTAAGGCACAAATACGGTAGCAGCTGCCAGTTTCTTTGGCAGCTGGAGGTGGCACTTGGGCAGAAAGAAGGTAAATGAGGTAAAGAGCACAAACTGGAGTCTTTAGGCCACGGACCTGGTACTCGTTTTGCAAAGGCTGTTTTGGATGAAGACATCACTGTGCCCACAGCTGCTGTCAGAGAAAGTTGAGAGAATGCTAATCTACTTTGAGCTGAGTTGGCTTAAATGGCTCACAAAGGTGGCATGAGCTAACTTTGATGACTTTGCCTGATGTGGTGAAAAGCAGATGTAAGTGATGATGTCTTCACTATGCTCATCTAGATCTTAAAGAGCACAGCTGGCCAAGCGTTTGTCTGAGGCACAAGTCTATTGCCTAAGTGTTCCAAGGGGAAGGGGGTCAATGTGAAACCACAGGATTTTTATTTCTGGAGTCTCTGTTTGCTTCCTCTGAAAAGGAGGCTGGCTGTAGGACCAATTGGATTATGGATGCATGGATGTGGATTCGCAATACCTTGGGAGGATGTTAAGCTTTGTCCTCATCCTTTGTCTTTCTTAATTTAGAGAGAGGAGAAGCAGCTGGAGCTGACCCTGGAGGCGCTGATCAGTCAGGTGGCCGACCTGAAGAACTCTTTGGTCAGTTTTATCTACAAGCTGGAGAACGAGTACGACCGACTCACCTGGTAAGGTGTCTCTTGGAGCTGGGGGCGCTTGGTCACTGAAGCTGTTCAGACTTGGCTCAAAGGATTAGTTAGAAACCATTAGAAACCTAGTGTCAGTAGGTTTAAATTTGCTTTTCATATTTGTGCTGGAGGGACCACTACCCGTCTTCCACCAGAAAACCAGCTGAAATCCATTGGTCTCATGCTGTAGAGTAATAGAGTCATCTGCAGTGACTGGAAGTTCTCAAGTGAAATATCTTAGAGACCCACATGTACTGTGAAATGAGCAATGGTTCTTTCTGCATTTTTTGACCTTCTCTGGCTTTTTCTGGCTCTGATATAAACTGAGCTTTTGTGTTTTGCTAGTTCTGTTTCACCACACAGTTTGAGAGACTTGCAAGATGTCATTCTCCTCCTGGTGGAGCATAAAGATGTTATAGCTGCAACTTAGTAAACTATACGGTATCTTAAACAGTGTCTGCCATTGCAGAAAGCTTCAGAGGCCATTAACATTTGTAGTTAATGTTGCAGAAGGCAGGAGAGGTGGTGAATCCCCCTGTGGGAACAAGCTGAAGGGGACAAGATTATCAGTTACTTTGCTTCATTATTGCTTAGCGTGGATAGCCAAGCCATAAATATTGTCTCTCCTGGCTGTACTGCCTAGGGGTTAAATTATTTCTCAGACCTTGCTCTAGAATTGCGCTGGGAGAGTTAGTGGTAAGGAGAGAATTGCTCCTGTGTATGTTGCTGAAATCCCAAACAACTGACACTTCCAATGGTACTGCTTGTAATCCCTGAACTATTTGCAACATTTGAGACATTTGCAGTAGGGGCTGGGGTTTGTCCACATCTGCATATTCAACCCTGGGTTTTACTGCTCACTGTCTGGAGTAGAGTGATTTGAGGAGTAATAGTGTTACTTCCTCACTTCTCAGCCATTTGAACAAAGAAGAGAGAAAAGCCACCTGTGGCATACCTTTCCATGTTTTGTCTTCTTTATTTGCTTTCCCAGGCCATCAGTTCTGGACAGCTTTGCATTGCTCTCAGGGCAGCTGAACACCTTGAATAAAGTGCTAAAGCATGAGAAGACCCCATTACTGCGAAACCAGGTTATCATCCCCCTAGTGCTGTCTCCAGACCGTGATGAGGAGATCATGGTAAGACGTGTCCCTTGATCATCAGAAAGTGCTTGTGTGTCTGCTCCAGCCTGCCACTCCTTGTGCTGGGCACTCCTCAGCCCTGGGTGTAGAGAAAGAAAAAGCAGCGAGTAGTTCTGTCTGGGAGCTGCTTTGCTGAGGGATTTTCACCTCACGTGCACTGGATGCACTTTACAGGAGGTGTTCTATTCACAAATATGTTGCTCTGACTAAACAGGCACAGTGCAAATTCCTAGACAAGTTGTTAAAACTTCCTAATGCTCCCCAGATCAAGGTTTCTGCACAGCATGCTGGCCTTGTTCCAGCACCATGGCCTGTGCCCTGGGCTGGAGGCAGAGGCTCTGAGTGAGGCTTGTCCAACATTGCAGCGGCAGACGGAGGGGCGTGTGCCCGTGTTCAGCCATGAGGTGGTGCCTGACCATCTCCGAACTAAGCCCGACCCTGAGGTGGAGGAGCAGGAGAAGCAGCTGATCACTGACGCAGCTCGAATTAGCCCTGATGCAGCACAGGTAGGTAAAGAACAGCTTGATACTTCTGCCTCTTATCCCTAGGGCACACAATGCCCTTTAACTCTGCTTCCTTCACCCTTCCATCTGAAAGTTTATTTTTTTTTGCTTTGTCCTTTCCTGTCTGAGATTTCTCCAGCTGACCCTAGCTGAGGTTTGGTTTCCTCCACAGTTTCACCAGGGTATCCAGCTCTCTGGCTGTTCACAGGAGGTGCCATCGGACCAGTCAGAGAAGTGGAGGCCATCTCATCCCCATAGTGCCCTGTGTGCCTTAGCACTGGGCTCCCTAGGCTCGGCCACCAAAATTCTTACAGTTGGTTACACAGACCCTGGGAAGAGAAAGCTTGTTCGTTCTCCTTGCTGATTTGTGCTGAGTTGGAGATATCCTGGCAGTTTCTGATAGTTTTCATTTTGCAGAAACA